GTCCCTGAGTCCAACAGCCCAATTCCTGATCCTGCTGAGGGCTCATTTCCCCCTTCCCTCCCTCATCAATCTTGAATCTACCCCCTAAAAGGCCTCAGAAAGGATAAGGGAGTGGAATTTTGGGAGTAGACAATTGTGCCACCCTTCCTTTACTTGTCCATCTCTGTGCTCACTGTTGTAAGATGCCCTTCCCCCATTACCACCATCTAAACTTTAACTATCTTTTATGGCTTTAGTTCAAGCGTCACCTCTGCCAGGAATATAGTCTTCAGCCCACTCTACTGAGGTAGCTTTCTTTCTTTTCCTTAAACCCTACACCAGTGTGTTTTTTCCCTCGCTCCTGACATTTGTCACACTTTGATATACAGGCTTGTGGGCGCTCATTTTTCCTCCCAGTCTCTGAACCGCATCAGGGCATTCCTGTCTGTGTCCTAGAGTCCGTCACAGTGCCTGGTACTACACAACAGGTGCTGGACAAAAGTTGCAGAATACAACTGGAAACCAGAAGCATCTCCCCACCCCCATCCTGTCCTGAGTCCTGGAGGTTTGTAAGCCATCACCCTTCACCTGTGAGGATGGCACTTCTGAACTACAAGTGTTCAGTGACTTACTCCCTCTGTCTCTTTTTTGGCTTTGTGTTATAATGGAACCTCTTCAATACGTTCAGGTTCTAAAATGATCAAGAATCTGCTCTTATTTCAGAGCAGAAATGTCCTGGCTTTCAATGTTTGAGTGCTGGAACCACAGATGAAAAGGCTCTGGGGTCCTCCCCACTATCACCCCTCTGGCCTGGAGGCCCCTGACTCAGTTCCATACACTGGGGTCATTTCTCTTTTCCAACTCCCTGGGGGAGGTAGAAGTGGCCCTGTTGCCTAAGGAAAGCAAGGAGCAGCCCTTCCGCCCTCCTTCTTTCCTCAATGAAGGAAGTCATGGTTAGGAGCCTGCCGAGGAAGTTGAAGGAGAGGGACTTGGGTGGACATTCTGAGCAGGCCAGCAGGAGATTGCCAGAATAGGGGACATCTGGGACCTGGCTGCCTTTTGGGGTTCATCTTAACTTCTGCGTCATTGGAAGTAGTCTGAGAGCAAGGGCTACCCATCTCAACCACATCCTATTTCCAGCCTTCTTATTAAAAGCTATAGGTCTATAAGGGGTATCTGATTTCTTTGTGGGGTAATGAAAATGTCCTAAAATTGATCGTGGTGCTGGTTGCACAAATCTCTGAATATTACTGAAAACCACTGAATTGTACAATTTAAATTGGTAAATTATATAGTATGCGTCTAGTGTGGTCAGGTTGCTATACCAAAATACCATAAACTGGGTGGCTTATAAACAACAGAAATTTATTTCCCACAGTTCTGGAGGCTGGGAAGTTCAAGATCAGGATGACAGTCGATTTAGTGTCTGGCAAGAGCCCACTTCCTGATTCATAGATGGTGCCTTCTCACTGTGTCCTCAGAGGGGCAAGCTGGCTCTCTGCCTGTAGTCTCTTTTATGAGGGTACTCATCCTGTTCAGGAAGGCTCCACCCTTATGACATAATCCTCTCCCAAAGGCCCCACCTCCTAATACTATCACCTTGGAAGTTAGGATTTTTTTTTTAAAGATTTTATTTATTTATTTGACAGAGAGAGACACAGCGAGAGAGGGAACACAAGCAGGGGGAGCGGGAGAGGGAGAAGCAGGCTCCACGCTGAGCAGGGAGCCCGATGCAGGGCTCGATCCCAGGACCCTGGGATCATGACCTGAGCTGAAGGCAGCCGCTTAATGACTGAGCCACCCAGGTGCCCCAAAAGTTAGGATTTTAATATGAATTTTGAGGGGACACAAACCTTCAGCCTTTAGCGGTATGTGAATTATATCTCAATAAAGCTCTTAAAAAACCACAATAGGGGCACCTGGGTGGCTCAGTTAGTTAAGCGTCAGACTCTTGGTTTCAGCTCAGGTCATGATCTCAGGGTCCTGGGATCCAGCCCCTTGTCAGGCTCCCCACTCATTGTGGAGTCTGCTTGTCCCTCTCCCTCCCCCTCTGTTCCTCCCTTCATTGTCTCTCTCTCTCTTTCTCTCAAATAAATAGAATCTTAAAAAAATTTAAAAAAGGAAAAGGAAAAAACACAATAGAAAACTACATATCTATTACAATGGCTAAAACAACCACAATAACAATGTGATAAGCCTATAGCTGTCTACAGCAGTATCAGTCATAAAAAGAAAAACCAGAAGCACCTTAAATGTTTAAAAACAGGGAAGTGGTTAAACAGACCATAGAATAGTAAATACGCTGCCATTAAAAATTATCACAATGAGGGGCGCCTGGGTGGCTCAGTGGGTTGAGCGTCTGACTCTTGGTTTCGGCTCAGGTCATGATCTTGGGGTCGTGGGATCCAGCTCTGTACTCAGCGTGGAGTGGGCCAGTCTCTCTCCCTACCTCCTCCCAACCCCCACCTCCCGCATGGGCACACTCTCTCTCTAAAATAAATAGATAATAAAATCTGAAAAAATATATATAATCACGATGAAGACTGTGAGCCAGCAGAAAATGCTTATGATTTGAAAATAAAGGGAAAGATCTTCCTTCTCTTGTTTTCCCTTTACTTCTGGAATAATTCAGTCCTAAAGGTGAGGCAGAACAAGTTAGGCAATGTGCCTCTGGGGGTGGGAGGGAGTCACAGAGAAGGGTGTCAGAGCCCAGGAGGAGTGAGGAAGGGCCCAGAATGGTCAGAGCCTGAGTAGAAGGAATCCATGAGGGGAGGGTGGTGCTGAGATGGAAGGTTATTTACAAGGGGAGTGATCAAATAAGCATTAAGTAGAGCCAGATTTAAGAGAAAGGCTTTGGAGGGGTGCCTAGGTGGCTCAGTTGGTTAAGCATCCGACTCTCAATTTTGTCTCAGGTCATGATCTCAGGATCATGGGATCGAGCTCTGCACGGAGTTCTACGCTCAGCACAAAGTCTGCTTGTCCCTCTCCCTCTGCTCTTCTGCCCACCCCTCACTCCGTAAAGTAAATAAATTAAAGATTTTAAAAAATCTTTAAAAAAAAAAGAGGGGAGGGGCGCCTGGGTGGTTCAGTTGGTTAAGCATCTGCCTTCACTCAGGTCATGATCCCAGGGTCCTGGGATCGAGCCCCACATCAGGCTCCCTGCTCGCTTCTTCCTCTCTTCCCTGATCCTGTTCTCTCTCGCTATCTCTCTCTCTCAAATAAATAAATAAAATCTTTAAAAAAAAAAATTCCTGGTTTATTTAAAAAAAAGGGGGGGGCAGGGAGAAGGGCCTTGGAGAAGCTACCCCCTAGTAGAAATGAGCACACCTGGATCTCAGTTTCTAAATACCATCTGCCACTAAAAGGAACTAGGGCTCCTTGGAGAAACAGCCAATTCTAAGGGTGGGCACAGGATGAACATGAAACACCTTGTTATTCCAGAAAGTAAGAAAGTGTTCAAAGGGGCGCCTGGGTGGCTCAGTCTCAGCGTCTGCCTTTGGCTCAGGTCATGATCCCAGGGTCCTGGGATCGAGCCCCACATCAGGCTCCCTGCTCGCTTCTTCCTCTCTTCCCTGATCCTGTTCTCTCTCGCTATCTCTCTCTCTCAAATAAATAAAAATCTTTAAAAAAAAAAAGTGCTCAAAGAATGATGGAACCATGTCAACAGGACACGAAAGCCAGCTTGAAGGGACCCCCAGTGACCAAAATGGGGACAATTTGTGCATCAAAATAATAAATGATTGTAACATGTAATATTTACATAATTCAAAGTACTTATTTACAAATAAGTACTTAATTACAAAAGTGAAAAGAGCAACTTTAAAGTGGGAGAAAGGTAGCCATAGTGTCTGAAGAGTGGCCCCCACAAAAATACATCCATATCTTAGTCCTCAGAACCTGTGAATATTACCTTACGTGGAAAAAGTCTTCGCAGATGTAACTAAGTTAAGGATTTAGGGATGAGGAGGTCATCCTGGATTACCCAGATGGTCACGAGATTCAACGACAAGTGTCCTTATAAGAGACACACAGAGGAGAAGGTGATGTGAAGACAGAGGCAGAGATTGAAGTGATGTGGCCACAAGCTAAGGAATGTCCAACAGCCACTGATCTAGAAGAGGCAAGGAACAGATACTCCCCTAGAGGGGTGCCTGGGTGGCTCAGGCGGGTAAGCGTCACGACCCCAGCTGGGATCAAGCCCCACGTCAGGCTCCCTCCTCAGCGGAGAGCCTACTTCTCCCTCTCCCTTTGCTTGCCGCTCTACTTGTGCTCTCTATCTCTCTGTCAAATAAATAAATACAATCTTAAAAAAAAAAAAAAAAGATACTCCCCTAGAGCCTTGGGAGGGAATGCAGCCCTGCAACATTAAGAATTGTTAAGAATAACCAGAAGGGTGCCTGGCTGGCTCAGTCAGCGGAGCATGCGACTCTTGATTTCAGGCTTCTAAGTTTGAGCCCCATGTTGGTTGTAGACATTACCTAAAAATAAAACCTTAAAAAAAGAAAAAAGAAGAACAATGTTTGTAAGGCCTCCCTGAAAGATGCTGGGAGTCCCATCCGCATTGGGAGCCCCAAGGAGGAAGAGGACTGGGAAGCATTCAGCGTCTACAGAGCATGGGTGGCTGGTGGGGAGAGCTTTAGGGCTCAATCATGGGAGAGGGGGACCTGGTCTGAAAAAGTATGGGGAGGGATTGGCGTTAGACTCCAGGAAAACCTCCAAAAGCCTCCAGACGGTGTGTGGAGGGACGTGTTGGCCCCCTCAGAGGGGAAGAGAGGAACATGGAGCCTCGCGGCCATCGCTGATCTTTGTTGAAAGGCCCTGGAGGACAGACACCCCAGTAGCTCTAGCCCGGGCCTGGCAGAGCCCCGGACACGGTCACTGCTGCTTCAGCCTTACATCCTCATCTGGGCTGCCGGGCTGAGCAGGGGCCCCTGGAGCCAGTCCCAATCTGTTTCCTTCTATTCTTCGACAGGAAGCTCCTGGAGAGCCGGCCCCCACCCCCCACCCCGCCCCAGCACTCCCTCTCTTCTCCACTATGGACAGAGCCACCGCGGAGCGGCTGCCTGTCGGCCACAGACCCGGCTGACATGGGCACCGTCGGAGCAACGCCGCTGTTCTGGGCCATCCTTGGCTTCCTCCTACTCCAAGGTAAGGGGCACTTGCCTCTCTGCTTCAGCAGCTCCTCTCCCGCAGCTGGTAGTCCTGGGCGCCTGTCTGTCCTTCACCATGGACAAGGCATACGCTCTCCATTCAGGCCCGTGCCCAAGGGAAATTCCAGAGCCTTCTCATGAAGGGACCCAGTTGAAATGGGGGTGGGGGGGTCATTACCGAGCAAAGGTAAAGTCGAGATGTGGTTAAACCCTTTTGTGGGAAAATTTCCAGGGTGAACCATGGTCCCCACAGAGGCTGGCCTCCTGAAATGTGGGGAAGCGACTCTCTTGGCTTGAGACTGAGGCCAGAAAGCTCCTTCCAGGGTGTTCTAGCACAAAATTGTCTGCACCTTGGGCTTTACAGGTGCTCCGTAGTCTTCTTTCACATGAGGAGTAACCACCTGGGAATCCAAATGTTGACTTGAAGCTCAAATCACAGCCAGAGGGACTCAGGTTAGATACAAAGAACTATTTATCAGAGAGGATGCACACAGCACCCTCCCCGGGAAGGGGGTGGTGGGGTGCTGGGTAAGAAGACACCCAGAGGAGATGACTGGCAATAACACCTCTGAGCCGACTCTGCTAGCTGGTGAGGGTTGAAGCCACTCAGAAGGGGTCCTCTAATTAGGGAGCAGTTGCTGGGAACCATGAGAAATCCAGGAGATTCTGACTCACAGGGCAGCAACTTCCCTTTGGTCATCCCTTCCCCACCCCCACCTTACTCTCCAGCAGTCCTCTGTTGGAGACTTATGACCCTGCCCTCACGGCAGCAGCAAAGAGTGCAAAGTGCTTGGACGGGGAGAGAGGGTGGCTATCCCCTGGTGTGTGTGGGGGGGGAGCGCTAGACTCTTATAGAAACCACAGGAATGGCAGAGGAGATTAAAAGGCGAGACTCGTGAGAGGGCACTGTCCAGGCAAGCAGCAGGCCTTGAAATGCCCTGGGTAAACTCTGCATAAGCCATGCTCACCCCTCACCCCGCGAGTTTCCTCATCTTTCATCGCAAAATCTCAGCACACTTACTATCCTCCTTGAGGAACCCTTTTGAGCCTAATCAGGCCCACAGGGAGACTTGACTTGGATACACAGAAACTTGGAGGATTGGAGAGAATGGGGCAAAAATAAAAATGTCTAGCATATATCGAGCATGGACTGTCTGTCAGGCACGGGGTTAAGTGCTTTATATTAATTTTCTTATCCACACAACCACTTATGAGGTATGAAAGTCATTTGCATTTTAAAGAAGGGGCCCAGGTCAGAGAGGAAGTGGTAGAGTCTGGACTTAAACTCACACTTGTCAGACTCCAAAAGCTGTGATTTTTTTTAACTACTAAGTTATGCTGCTGAGGCAAATAGGGGACGGGGGTGGTGGTGAAGGAGAAAGGAGAAGCTGGAAGCTTCATGAAGCAGGTAGGGATTAGGGAGGAGAGGTAGGAAAATCAGAATCTCTGTGGCCGGGGTTCTGGGGTTCTTTGGCTGTCTGCAGGCCCAGTGGTCAGAGGTACCCTGGCCTGCAGAAAGAGATGTTCCTGAAGTCTCTCCCCTACTCACAGAAGAATCCACTGGTGACAGAAAGTTCTGGTAGGGGGACAGGGCCAGAAGACAGAGAACAGGGTACTGGCACTTGGAGCCTGTGACTTTGGAACTCCTTCCGAGACCCTAATTTTGTTTCCACATCTGCAAAAAGGCAGTGCACTGTGGCCACCCACTAAAAGCTAACGTGACAACCTGATAGAGCGCAGACGGTACCTAACACATGCTTGATCAGTAACTGCCGGGTGTTTTCAGGCTGTGCCTTGAAAAGTGTTCTTCCAGGGTCATTTACAGCTGAGCAGAGTTCTCTCTAGCCTCAGGCACCTACAAGTGTTAATCCCCCTCTGATGTCCCCACCCAACCCGGGGGTGGGGCTACCAGAGGCTGGTGACCTGGAAAAACACAGCCAGGGTTTGGGCAAGCTTGGGCTTGGAAACCATTAAACCCACACCATCCAAAGTGATAGCCCCATGGAGGAAGGCAGTGGCTAAGGAAAATAAACAGAGTGGCAGGCTGCCGCAGGCTGGGAGGGCCCTGGCCGCGGCCACCTCGGCTCTCCCTGGCCCAGGCTTGGGACTTCCCTGTGGACGTGGGCCTGGGAGGCCGAGGGCCAGGCCAGAGGCTGCGGTCCCAGCCGTGGCAGAGGGACGGGAACCCAGCTGGGCGGCTCCACTTCCCCACGTTGTTTTCCTTTCACATTGTTCACAGGTTTCAAGAATGATTTCATTGTGGAAAATGAGCAAACACAACCTGACCTTTCAGGTCCCACACACACAGGGGACACACATAGGGGCACACAAGCACACGTACACATCGACCCAGAGGCCCACAGGCGTTCACGTGTCCATACAAAAAAGCCAATGAGGGCTTCTGACTGGGGCCTCCTGGTAACTGGCTCCTCCCTGGGTTTGGCTAACAACGGAGCCATTTCTGAAGTAGCCTCTGCCTATGAAAGTAAAATTGGCCACATGTTCTAGAGCTTTCCTGCCCCTATATATACCTCAGAACTCGCTTCCTGTGTGCACCCCTCCTTCTAGCTGCGGGGTGGGGCGGGCAGAGAGACAGCCCAGATGCCAACCCCAATCCCTAACCTCATTTTATTCACCACATCTTTCCATCCCTTTCCCTTGGGGGCAGGACCAAGATGACAATACTCACAGGGAGAAATGGATGGCTCAATGGTAGGGTAGCAAGAACCTGGAGTCCTAGGTCCTTATCTAGATGTCACAGGTCACTGGCCCTCTGTCCTTGGACAAATCACTAGTTTGAAATAACCTTCCCCTGACCTCCTATCAGCTTGGCATAAAACCCACGTGGGATTAAAGAGACAGGAAAGGACTCTGGGACACTGAACCTTGCGGTGGTGGTGATGGTGCTATTGAGTCGTGGGTGGTTTCAGAGGAAGCTAGCCCTGTGAGCCAGAGCCAAGTCCTGCAGCCCTCTGCCAAGTGTGTGTGCCTTCCAGCACGGAGGGCTTGGAAAGCCTGGGTTCTTCTGTGGGCTCTGTGCTGGGCAAGAGACTCACCAAGCGAGTCAAAGTCTTCTGCTCTCTCTTGCAGGCCACCACTCCCAGCCCACGACAATGCAGACATCTCGCCCTCAGGGTAAGACCAAACATACGGGGCCTACTCTGTCATTTAGGCCTGGCAGCTTAGGAAGGGCAAGTGGAGAACAGACCTCAGGTGATGGGGGCCGGGGCCAGAGGTCTCAGGACATCAAAGGCTGAGTCCAGCTTGACCCAGGCTAACGAGCCTCAAAAGAGGACAGAGATGAATGGCTGGGGGGGGGGGAGGGGCAGGGAGAAAGACTAGAAAACTCAGGCTACAGGGAAGAAGACAGGGAGACAGAGCTATAGGTAGCAGTGACCCTCAGCCTCAGATGATTTATTTCAGGAGCCTTCAGCCATCAAAGTCTAACCACAGAGCCACTTTCTTCCAACATAGGTGAGTGAGTGTGGCTGCGGAGGGGCCGGTCCCTGTCCCCGCCCAGCTCCCTGCCCAGCCTTTCAAATCTGCTTGGACCCCAAGGGTTCTCAGGTGGGCAAGGGACTGTGGTGTCACCCAGCCTGCCCCCTCCAACCTCCCCTTGCCTCCGTCCTTGCAGGAGACAGCCCTTCCTCAGAGCCCAGCCGCCCAAGCCCTCTGACCAGCACTGGAAGCCCAGGTACTCTGCTGCTCAGATCCAGATGCCCTCCGGGGAGGGCCCAGTGAGGAAGCAGACACAGTTGCTGCCCTACAGGAGAATACAGACTGGTGGGGGAACAGACCAGTAAACAGGACCGTATGTTGCCAACTACAAAGCAGGGGGAAAGGGCTGTGATGAGCATAAGCAGAAAGGGCTGCAAGGGCCAAGACAGACACAGACGTAGGCCGCTTCAGACTCAGGGGCCTGGGAAGACATGCTAGAGTGAGTGACCTCGGAAGCTGAAGCCCAAGAGGGAGTTAACCAGATGAGGAGTGTGGGGTGGAGGGTGGTAGGGTATATTCCAGGCAGAGGCCTTTATAGGTAAAGGCCCAAAGTTAAAAGAGAGGATTGCTCCTTCTGGAATTGAAAGCAGTAAAGAAAAGGAAGATTTTGGACTAAATAGGGCCCCCTTGTACAGGCTGGCTGAGGCCCTGAGCAGGCCCACCCATGCTTCCTAATCCACAGCAGCTCCAGAGAAGGCCTCACAGGTCCTCATGGTAGCCAGGAAACCTGTGACACCGAGCCCCAGCACTGTGGATGGTCACTCCCAGTCCCCGCTGGGCCTGACTCAGTCCCAGACACAGAAGTACACAGCAGGACTTGGTGAGTACCTGGGGCTGAGGGTCAAGAGCATGGGGTCATGTCTGGTTGGGGTCCTTCTCCACCTTTTCAGAAGACCCAGGATCTGCCCCACAAGGAGGCCTCGCAGGGCCAGGATCCACATCAGTGGCAGCCTGATTTGGGGATGAGAGAGGTTTGGTGGGAGGTAGAGACACAGCCTTGGGCCTGGTCACAATGAAGGCAAAAGGAGCCTGGATGGACTCGGGACTGATAAAGGCATGGAGGGGAAAGGGAGAGGTAGAACCCAAAATGATGGCAAGGGAGGCAAAAGGCATTTGGCCAGGGCTACACACTCTTTGGGGCAGGTTGACCTTCACACGCCAATGTGGGGCAAGAGCTGGGAGGGGGTGGACCTGCTGTTTCATGGCACAGGCCCAGCACAGCACCCTGACCTTTTCTCTCATCCTACCCCTTGGCTCTGGGAATTTTTTATACTCACAGACTTATTTGGCAGTGCAGGAATGGATAAGGAAATGGACAGTGATTAGACCTGCAGTACAGTGAGTGGAGGAGGGGGTGCCTGGCTGGCTCAATCGCTGGAGCTGCGACTCTTGATAGCATTACAAGTTCAAGCCCCATGATGGGTGTAAAGATTACTTAAAAATAAAAGCTTAAAAAAAAAAAAAAGAGTTGAAGAGGGGAAGAGATGGGTGATAGTACTACTTTTTAAGAGGGCCAGAAACTTGTGCCCCTTAACTGGCAGCCTGCCTCATTAAATTGGTGCCTGGGGATAAACATCCAGTGAGCTTTTTTCCTCCCACTTCAACCCTTGGCAAAACACAGATTGCTCTACATTGCCCAGTCTGGCTCCCTATCTCTGGAGCATAAATGGGCCCCAGGGGATGGTGGGAAGAGATTAACGGGGGGGGGGGGCATCTTGAATTTTTGGAGTCCCCTGGAGCTAGTAACATGAGCAACCAGCAATACCATTCATCTGATCCCACATTACCCAGTTCCAACCTCCATCCTCATGAGATCTGGTCTGAGTGGCAAGGAGGAAGTCTTTTTTGTAGGGTATGAGCTCCTTCTGAGTTCTTTACCTGGGGAAGTGGGAGGGGAACTAGCTTTCTCTCTCTCTGGTGGGCCATCCCAGTACCGTCACTGATGCACCCATCCCCACTCCATTTCAGACACTTCTCAAAATATTACTCCCATATCAACCACCATGAGCCCGAGGACAAGAGAAGACTCTTCCATCCTGCCCAGCCCCACATCAGAGACAGTGCTCACTGTGGCTGCATTTGGTAAGAGGGAGAAGGTGGGGAGAGTGGCAGGAGACCCCATCCCTGAACTAACTTGGACTCTGGATCTGGAAACACAAGTTTAAATCCCACCTATTTGTTCTAGGAGGGCTTGGCTGATGAAGAAGGCCCTGGTAGGAAGGAGCCTCCACTGGCCCTCCAGTCAGCTCTTCTGGGCTCTGTTGGGTTCCATGTTCTTATGGGAGGGTGAGGCAGGGCTGTGGAGCTTGCTCTGGGCAGGGGTAGGGGGCTGAGAGCTCATTCATTCAGCAGAGAAGGGGAATTCACTTTGCTCCCAGAGCCTCTCTACACAGCACTTAGCTGGGAGGGGAATTTGGACTCCTGTTGCCCCCTTTTGCCCCTCCTTTACCCTGTCCTTTTCACTGTTCAGGTGTTATCAGCTTCATTGTCATCCTGGTGGTTGTGGTGATCGTCCTAGTCAGTGTGGTCAGTCTAAGGTTTAAGTGTCGGAAGAACAAAGAGTCTGAAGGTACACGCCCTGCCCCTCAGGGCCCCCCTTTGCCCCTCTTTGCTAAGAGACCAAGAGCTACATTTGGAGTGTAGGAAAATGACACATGAGCACCCCTGATGAGACGGAAGGGGAGTCCCCTTGGGTGGGCTTCTGAGTTATAGCATGTGACCCCCAATTTGTGCCTCTGAATATTTTACAGATCCCCAGAAACCTGGGAGTCCGGGGCTATCTGAAAGGTAAGATTGTCCGAGGTGTAAGGGAGGAATCATCTGTCTGACCTCTCAGTCCCCCACTCCAAGAGAGAACTGATACTTCCTCGGGCACCTGTGTGATTCAGTCAGCTGGGCGTCCGGCTCTTGGTTTCAGCTCAGGTCATGGTCTCAGGGTCGTGAGATCAAACCCCGTGTCAGGCTCTGCATTCAGTGAGGAGTCTGCTTGAGATTCTCTCCCTCTCCCTCTGCCCCTCCCCCTGCTCTCTCTCTCTTTAACATAAATAAATAAAATCTTAAAAAAAAAAAAAAGAACTGATACTTCCAACCTTCTGCACATATGCTCCCACAAGCATGCATGGAATCTTGACAGCCACCACTGAGGCCAGGACTAGGGATGGGCAGGACAGGGGCGACCCTAAAATGAAACAATCGGGAGACAGGAGATGAACTGGAATTCTTCAGCCTGAGGGCTAAGCCTCTATAACCCCCTCATGAAAAATGTAGGAATTCAGATTCTAATATACCCCTCTTTTTAAAAAAACGTTATTGATGTATTTTAGAGAAAGAGAGAGAGGAGGGGAGAGGGGCAGAGGAAGAGGGAGAGAGAAACTTAAGCAGACTCCACACTGAGCGCAGAGCCCGATGCAGGGCTAGATCTCACAACCCTGAGATCACAACCTGAGCTGAAACCAAGAGTCGGACGCTTAACCAACTGAGCCACCCAGGCACCCTTCTAATATACCCTTTAAATATGAAAATATTTAAGGAACATCTTGTATGTGCCAGGCACTATGGTAGGTATTTTATAATATTACCTCAAATCCTTACAGCAATTCCTCAAGGCAGATATACTGCATTCTGTACATTTGAACAAATTGAGACTTGGAGAGGTTGTAACTTGGTCAAGATCACACAAGTAGCAAGTAGAAAAACTAAGATTTAGATACAAGTCTTTTAGGCTTCCAAGCACACTCCCATTTCATTAGGGTCCACCACCAAAACACAGGTTTATCGAAACAAAGGTCGAAGTTCCAACACTTAACCCCACAGCTCCCTGACCACCCCATTGCCCTCCTGCTCCTCCATTTTACAACCCATGTTCCTTTCTTACCCCCAGCTGCTCTACAGCCAATGGAGAGAAAGACAGCATCACCCTGATCTCCATGAAGAATATCAACATGAATAACAGCAAAGGATGCCCCACAGCAGAGAAGGTACATTTTTCCTGGTTCCTTCCTCCCTTCTCTCTCCTTTTCTCACCTTCAGATGCTAGTTCCTTAGCCAGAAAGGAGATACTTTCAAAGACGCAGGCTCTGCTCTCCTCTTCCCTAGCCCGCCACTCCCGAGAAGTTCACCCTTTTTCATGATGTATTTATTTTGCAGGTTCTTTAGAAGCAATGTTGGGTCCCCATGGGTCAAACGATGACGCAGCTGCCCTGTGTCTATAAAGAGGAAGGCGATGGAAGTGGTACAGGCATGAACCACATATAAATTATTTTATTATTTCACACTTACTCCAAGATCTAAAAGGACACTGGCATTCCTCCAGATCTAGGAGCAAGCTGCCAGTATGAGAGACTCTTTCCCATATGGGCAGCCACTCTGGAAACACAGCCTGCTCCTCCCACCTGCTCACCGTCACAGGAAGGGAGAGTCTGGAGAGCAAGAGCAAGGAAAATGACAAAGTGGAGTGGCCTTTGCTACTTTTCATTAAAATTATTTTCTGGCCGACGGTCTAATTTCTTTTAAGGTCTGTGCTCTTGTGCATGTTTGTTAACAGTGCTCCAGCAGCTGTGGGCAAGGTATGGATCCAAGTTTCTGCCCCTGTAGGGAGCTCTCCGAGCAACCTGCGAGGTAGACTGAACATTTTGTCAGGTCTGCCTCAGTTCCCCTGGATTATTAAGGAGGAATGAGGTCCTGAGGGACTAATCGCTTCAAGAGAGGAGAGAGAAAGGGAGCTGGAAACAGTGACCAATCGTCACCAGTAAAGACGTGTTGAACCTGGAGAGTGAGAACATGAGAGGCACAGCGCATTCTGACTAGGGAAGTTCAGCAGGGAGAGCTGAGTAATATGAGGGCAGATGTCCTCTCCCTGCCCCGGGGTAGGTCTGTGACTTCATAAGCCAAAACCCACCCCCTTTACCCCATGCAGCTGTAATCTTTGTGTCCTAGAAAGAGAATAAAGGGTGACAAACACTCTTAAATCTCTTAAAGGGAAGGAGGAAAAGCAGTTACCCATTTTCTTAGAAATCTCCACCATGACACTGGTTTGGAGATGAATCTTGGTTGGGGAAAATTCAGGGGAAGAGTCACCTGTGTGTGTCTGCACAGAGGGGTTAACTTTATGAATATCTGCTAGGTGGCAGTTCAGATTACAAGGAGCTTACACATTCGGAACAACGTGAAACAATATGCTATTTGCTTCTGGATTTAGACTCTGCGAGGTGATCTGAAAGAGAAAGCCTGGAACAAAAAGCTTCACTCTGTTTCTTTGCAACTATTCAAGCGGACTGAAGAAACCTATTGGATTCTAAAATCTTCTAGGACAAGGCTTGAAATCTAGTCACGTCTGTAGCTCCTATTTGGTACACGGTGCCCAGCACATCGAAGGTCATAAAAATTGGCTCTTGAGGGCAGGAAATGTCATCACAGGCTGAGCTGTGCAGCTGGGCAAAATCACTCCCCAGCTCCCAGCCTGTTTTCTTACTTTTAAAGCAAGGTGGCTGGACTATTTGGTCTTCACTATCTTTTCTGGTTCTTATATTCTACAGTTCTATAAACTCTAGACTTAAGAAAAAATGAACACAATCTTTTGAGTAGAGATCACCCTGGGTGGAAGCCAGAGACAAGTCTTAGGTGAGTCTGGGCAAGTCTTCTACATTCTCCAGACTTAAGATTTCCCTGTGTCTTAAGGGAAGAATGGTTCCTAACTGGCCTTTGGTAGCTACTTGGTAGGTAAAATGGAATAGTAAATGTGGAGACATGTGGGAAGCAGAAGTACTAGTTGGCAATTGCAGCAGACAATGTGGAGTATCACCACCCAGGTCTCACTTCAAGGTCAATGTGCTGTTTCCCCCGCTGTTAGGAGTGTTGGCTGCTCAAATTAAAAAAAAAAAAAAAAAAAGGAGCATTGGCTGCTGAGGGCTCATAGCTGGTTGATGGGGGTGGGATAAAGACCTGGACCTCTTGCCTCAATTTCCCCCTCTGTCTAATCCTGCTTCCCTTACTCCTCACAGCTCTTGTTCCCAGGAGTACTCACCAATAAACCCTCAGCATGCAAATCTCAGAGTCTCAGAGTCTATTTCCAACCTATGACAGCAATACTACAGCATTTTTAAAAAGAATTTATTGGGGGGGAGGGGCAGAGGGAGAGGGAAAAGCAGGCTCCCTGCTGAGCAGGGGGCTCAATCCCAGGACCCTGGGATCATTACCTGAGCCAAAGGCAAATGCTTAACCAACTGAGTCACCCAGGTGCCCCTAAAATATGACAGCATTTTTAAAAATAACTCAGAGATATTTATTTAAGCCACACTGCAAAAAGCACGACTTCCTAGCCAGTTCCAGCCCACACAAAAAAACACGTCATTGTGATAGAACTCTCCAGGTGACATAACAATGTCTAGAAGTACTACATTCTGTTTGAATTGTTCTTGTTATTCTGGCTGCCATGGGCACTTCATTCAGCTGCTTATCATACTGGACAAATTAGGTCAAGAACATGAGGTTCACTCTAGGTAACTCAGTTGATGTCTCCATTCTAAGGCCACAAACTTCCCCTTGACTCTGGACAATGTCCTGCAGATATGAGCTGTTAGTCATAAGGTATTTATATGTGGGGGAAAGGGTGTGAACTGGTACGAATATGAGATTGGATGGCTTTTACTCAGAAACCGACATTGCAGTTCTTCATTAGCCAGGTTGGTTTTCCCGTTGCTAAATAGCTTTCCTTTGAGAAAGGGGCAAGGATGGATTCACTTAATTCTCTAGCAAACTGCCTTAGAAGGAGTTCTGCTAGAGGATCCTACTATTTATGCAAATACAAGAACCCACCTCTGATAGGAAATCCGAGTGCACCCTTCTGCAGCCCCTGCAACTTCCCTGAGACAGTATCTCTTCCTTGATGTCTAGACAACAGGATGGTGGCCATTTACAAGACAGCTTCCTCCCTATTCTAACACGGGACTAGATGGCCCCAAAGCAGGAACAGGTGGTGGGGTGGGGTGGTTACTGTAAAGGGTCCTTCTTTTGCTTCTTTCCCCATCTTACGGGAGGGCAACCAACAAACCAGCTCAGGCACACAGGCCCAGTTGGACAGAGGGAACATTTACTCAGTATCTTTCTTCCAGGGATAGATGGGTCAGTATCTCAATCATATAGGGCACAAGGCAAACCTCAGTATCACCAGCAAAAATTCACTACAGTTCAACAAATATTTCTAAAAGTAGAGAAAACTGATAGAAATCAGAGGCCAGCTCTCAATAAAATGGTTTAGCAGATGAAGGATCGTTGCAGGCCCCTTGGCCTAGTACATGCATATAATTTCCTAAAGCCAAACTAGTACTAATCAATTCTATTTGAATCTGTTGGACAACATCATGTGGCTCTGCTCAGCGGTCTCCTTCTGGATTTGTGGACGTCCTTTATCACCTCTTTGAACCTCTTTCTATACCTACGACCTTCTCCTTGAGAACCACCTCAGAGATTCCAAATTCTCTTCCCTTATTTCCTTCCCAGTTGCTTCCTCACTCCCCCTGCTGGTTACTTTCCCCGGGCACCTCCATTCTGAACCTTCTGAACCCACAGCTTCCTCTTTTACCAAACACAGAGACTGAATTTGATAGTGGGAATTGTTTTGTTGACTGGTTGGTGTGCTTAAGCCAAAACTGGCACAGAAGTGCTCTAAATGTTGAGGTTTGGAGTTCTAAGTTAGTCCTAGTGCTACAGTCATAGAAACATTCATCTAGTAGTGTTAATTCAGGTGTAAATGAGCTAAAGGGTATGTTTCCTGGCAATATCTGACAAGGTTGCCATGCTGAGCCATTTTTTACTGATCTAGGACTAAATGAGTCTTGTAGAAAAAAAGTGGGGAGTGAGGTTTCAGAGGACGATGGAAAAGGTTTGTTGAGGTACCAGACATTTCCAAAAGGCTGCAGCTTCCCAAATCTTGTTCAGCATTCTTGAACCTGGACTCTACTCCTAAGTAGCCCCATAAGTCACAGTACCCCTTCTCAATCCAATTACTCCCCACAGTGCTCTAGCACCCCCACTATCAATCAGATACCTCTCACTTCATAGCACTGACATTTCTGAGTACCTCCAGACCTTAGCCCTGTGCCCCTAGACTCTAAGGCATACCCCACCTTCCCCTGTCCATATTTTAGAGCAGTCTAGTTTCTCAAAACCAAATGAATTTCCTTCTTAAGTTTAATCATCTAATGTATATCCCTGATCAGGTCCCTTGTCTGCAAAGCACAAGTGGCTTCCTTAGCATACTGATGCTCATATATCCTAGAGCTACCACTAACTAGAGCAGGGAAGGAATAGAACTGCATTCAACTGGAGGATTTTACCCTATCAGTTTGTGTCTCCTGCTGATCATCTCCCGGTCCCACCCCAAATGCCTAAGTAGCTGCTGCTTGATATCATAGTTGGCATACTGAGGTGGTCTTCCCGGGTAAGATCTCAATGAATTCTAAGTAATTTTTTGTTTTGGAATGAATTGATCATTTTTCACTTTTGAAACCTGATCTTTGGCCATCCCAATTCACCCGCAGGCACGAGTCAGTAAGGCACTATGAGAATTGCTCTTCTTCTTTGCTAGGCCCCATGCAGACCTGAGTGGGAAAAAGCAGGAATATTTTACTTTCCTTTTACTAATTTCGTAGGGCCTTCAGAAAACAAGCAAATGGGCCACGGAAACGAGTGGGGTGGAACAGAAGAGAAAAGTCTCAGAGGTGCCCTGGAGTAGGATGGGATGGACGAAGGATAAGGAACAGCAAAGATAGGGGATTTAATGCTGGCTCCAACACCTGACCCTTTCTTCCTTCTCTACCCCTAGACCCCAGAGGTCCCTCGAATGATGCTGTGCCAAAGCAAATGCACGAAGAGGGGCCTACCCAGATTGCCCTCTACATAAATCTACCTAACTTTTCTGTTTTCTTGGTTCTTAAAATCTCAGGATTGGGTTCGCATCCCCAAAACCCGTCTCTCAATCTCCAGGACCAAACATACACTTTGCACAGAACGGGCATTAGCATATATTTTAAAAGGACATCCTTGAGATGAATAGTCATACTGTGATCCTCTAGTTTGCAAAACCTTTCCCAGGCAGGATTTCACCGCGCCTCCCTGAATGCTCCCAGTGTTAGGTGAGGCCGAAGCCACTATTCCCACGCTACAGACGAGGAAAAGTGTGGTCCGCAGTCGCCCTGCAGTCAACCAGCAGCAACAAACCTCCACAGACCTCGCTTCCCAGGGTCGAGCCCCACACGCCCCTACAACTCCTACAGCCCCTCGCGCGGAGCCTGCCGGGAGTTGTAGTCCAATGGCCCACGGCTCCTATGAGTTGGACTACAATGACCAGCATGCCCCGCGCTTCTCGCCCCGTCCCTTTCAGCCTCGGGCGCTGGGGAGGCTCCGCAGACCTGCTGATTGGGAACCGATATGGCTGCGACTCTGGGCAGCGGGGAGCGCTGGACCGAAGGTACCAGGTCCTTGCCGGAGGGTGGGACAGGGCAGAGTTGGGAGAGGAATGGGGCTCCTTGAGATTACTGAGGCCTGAGACCCTGGGCCTGAGGTGAAGGATGGAGGCCTATGAAGAGATGCTGAGCCTGAGTAGGGTTCCGAATTAGGTGGGGGACCGCCCAGGGCAGGGGCCGGGATCTGAAAATCAGGAGCGCTGGCTCAAGCTAAGGAACCAGCTAGGAGCCCAGAGTAACCCGTGATGACTTTTTTGCCTCCGGCCCCCAGCCCTGCCCCGTCTCGGCCCGTGCCCAGCTTAGGGCCCGCGGTGGTCAGGTCCCGCCTGTTCCAGGGTGGCTGGGAGGTCAGCAGGGTGATTCGGATTCCCACAGCTTGCTTTTCCGGCCCCTATCCTAGCTCCGCCCAAGTAGGCCGCCTGACTCTCAATCTCCGTTTGGTCCTGTTCCTGCCAGCCCACATCAGGACCGATAGACCGGCCTTTTCCATCCTGCAGTCAAGCAAAGAGTATTGATATTGTTATGACCTGTTATGTACCCTGCATTATGCTGATCGTGCAGCAGGGATCTGACAGACTTGGGCCCCTGAGATCACAAAACTCAACAATCCACTGAGGGAGTTCTACAGGTAGACAGACAATTACGAAACAGAGCCACTAAGTCCTGAGCTACACAGCAAGGTCTTAGGTTTGGGAAGCACAGTGACAGCCTGGGTGTCAGAGGAGGCCTCAGGAAGAAAGTGTGACATATGATGACATAAAGGATGCCTTGGAGTTAGTCAGGATGACTTAGAGGAAGAATGTTGCAAGCAGAGGGAACAGCATGTGCAAAGGCACAGACAAAAAAGAAAGCATTGCTGATCTGAAAGGCATTTGGTGTGTCTAGAGCATAGGCTGCAAAAGATCTCGTGGTGAGGGAGGAGGCTGCAGAGGCAGGCTGAGCCTATAAGAAATTTGGACAAGGAGCAGTGGGTAGTCACTAAGGGATTTTAGGCAGGAGAGAGACATTTTTAAAGCCTCTTCCAGATCCTCCAGACAGGACCTGAGTCTTCTGCCTTCCTTGACTGGATTGCTGTGGCCTTCTTTACATTCTCCAGGTGTTATGATGAATCGAATCTTCTCCCTTTAAACTATAACCCCTTTGTGGTCAGAAGTAGGTCTTACCCATATATCTAGCCAAGTGTGTTGTTCTGTAACTGCTAGTTTAAAAGAACTGAACTCACCCCTACTTTAAATCTTAGTGGTGGGAAGCATGGCAACAACAACAGCAACAAATTATTTTATGAGCAGTGTGACTTCTGAACATGGATCACAGAAAAATAGGCTTCTCCCTGCACTGCACTAAAGGTAGACACCTTTTGAAAGGCAAGGTACTGAGGAGATGCCTCTTAAGCCCCTTCTCTGGCTCTGATTCAGAATTATTTGCTGAATGACCACTGTAGGTATGGTGGACATTATTATGCTTCATGTTTCTAGCATTATAAGTTTTTCATGGTTGCCTCCGTATTTACTATATTGTTTTCTCAAGGAAGATGTTCATTCAATTTTATATGGATGCTTAAAAGTCAGTATGATGTCAGTAGTTTGGCCTTCACACTCATGGCCACAAGCAGCCTCCCCGATAGCGAGGGCAGGTAGCAAAGTTAATTGCAGATCAGACTGAGGCCTAACGGAGGGGCTATTGCTTTGCAGCTTACATTGATGCAGTTAGAAGAAACAAATACCCAGAAGATAGACCTCCTGAAAGTCATGATCCCTGTGGGTGCTGTAATTGCATGAAAGTGCAAAAGGAAAAGAAGTCTGAGCATGAGTGGAATCCAACCCGACAGGGTGAGGGAAGTGCCACTTACACTGAGGAACAGCTGCTCGGGGTACAAAGGTGAGTCTGTGGTGGGATTCAATGAGTGATTTTAATGTAGAGTTCCTGGCAGAATGTGTTACATAAGCATTGACTGTTATTGGTACTTTTATTATTATTATGGAAGCACAACAGCTTCTTGGCTTCAGAGGCAAGACTAGGTGGGAGTGGAGTGTTAGGGTGTAATCTGAGGTAACTTTACTGCTTCTATGTCGGAGAGGCAGGGAAAACCAACTAGACGAAACAGACATCTATATACAACAGTCTAGCCAACGACAGCAGAATACACATTCTTCTCAATATACATGAAACATTCTCCAGGATAGATCAGATGTTAGGCCGCAAAACAAGTGTCAATAAATTTAAAAGGATTAAAATCATACAATGTATGTTCTCTGATATCGACAACAGAAGCAAATTTAGGAAATTCACAAATATGTGAAAATTAAACAATATATTCCTGAAATAACAAATAGGTCACAGAAGAAATCATACGAAAAATTAGAAAATACTCTGAGATGAATGAAAATGAAAACACGACATACCAAAATATATAGGATGCAGCTAAAGCAATACATAGAAGGACATTTATAGCTATAAATGTTTATATATATATATTTAAAAATCTCAGATCAATAACCTAATCTTCCACCTTAACAAACCAGAAAAAGAAGAGCAAAAAGAGTACACTAAATCCAAGCAAGCAGAATGAAGGAAATAATATAGAGTGGAAATAAATGAAATCGAGGTTAGAAAAACAACAGAAAATCAACAAAACCAAAAGTTGGCTTTTTGAAAATAACAAAATTGACAAACCCTTAGCTAGGCTAACCAAGAAAAAGAGAGAAGATTCAAATAACTAAAATCAGAAATAAAAGAGGGGACATCACTACCAATCTTACAATGATAATAAAGATTTTAAAAGGATACTATGAACAATTGTACGCCAACAAATTAGATAACCTAGATGAAACAGACAAATTTGTAGAAATGTACAAACTAGAAGATCATACAGACCTACCACAAATACAGAGATTGAATTAATAATAAAAAAATTTTACCCTGTGACCCAGCAGTGACACTACTAGGTATTTACCCGAAGGATACAAACAGTGATCCGAAGGGGCACCTGCACCCCAATGTTTATAGCAGCAATGTCCACAATCGCCAAACTACGGAAAGAGTGCAGATGTACATCGACAGATGAATGGATAAAGAAGAATGGATAAAGAAGATACACACACACACACACACACACACAATGGAATATTACTCAGACATCAAAAAAATGAAATCTTGCCATTTGCAACGATGCGGATGGAATTAGAGGGTATCATGCTAAGTGAAATAGCCAATCAGAGAAAGACAATTGTATGATTTTACTCATATGTGGAATTAAGAAACAAAACAGAGGATCATAGGGGAAGGGAGGGAAAAATAAAATAAGACAAAATTAGAGAGACAAACCATAAGAGACTTTTAACTATAGGAAACAAACAGGGTTGCTGGGGGGTGGGTGGAGGGATGGGGTAACTGGGTGACGGGCATTAAGGATGTAATGAGCACTGGGTGTTATATGCAAATGATAAATCACTGAACTATCTCTGAAACTGTTAACACACTATATGTTAATTAATTGAATTTAAATAAAATAAAAATTTTTTAAAAATTTCCCACAAAGAAAAACCTAGGCCCAGAAGCCTTCACTGGTAAATTCTACCAAACATTTGAAGAATTATTAACTAATCCTTCATAAACTATTACAGAAAATACAAGAGAGGGGAGCACTTCCCAACTCATTCTATGGGGCCAATATTACACTACAACTAAAACCAGACAAAGACATAAGAAAACTAAACTATCAATCAATATCCCTTATGGATATAGATTCTAGCAACATATAAAAACATATGAAAAGGATTATATACCTTGGGGCACCTGGGTGGCTCAGTTGGTTAAGCTTCTGACTCTTGGTTTTGGCTCAGGTCATGATCTTGGGTCCGTGAGACTGAGCCCTGCATCTGGCTCTGTGCTCAGCGGGGAGTCTGCTCCTCTCCTCCTCCCTCTGCCGCTCCCCGCAATTATGTGCCCTCTCTCTTTCTCAAATAAAAAAAAATGAATAAATCTTTAAAAAAAAGATTATATACCTGGACCAGGTGGTATTTATCCCAGGAATGCAAGGTTGTTTAACACATGAAAATTAATCAGTGTGATACACCATATTAATAGAATAAAGCACAAGGCCACATGATCATTTTAATAAGTACAGAAAAAGCATTTGACAAAATCCAACACTGTTTCATGATAACAATACTCAACACAATAGGAGTAGAAAAGAACCTCCTCAGCTGATAAAGGCCATCTACAAAAAACCCACAGCTAACATTGTCATACTTAATGGTGAACAACTGGATGCTTTCCAAGGTCAAGAAAAAGACAAGTATGTTTACTCTAGCCACTAGAGTTTCAAGCCAGGGCATTTAGGCAAGAAAAAGAAATACAGAAGTCATCCAGATTGGGGGTGCCTGGGTGGCTCAGTCAATTGAGCTTCAGACTCTTGGTTTCGGCTCAGGTTATGATCTCAGGGTCGAGAGGTCCAGCTCCATGTTCAGGCTCCACACTCAGCAGGTAGTCTGCTTGAGATTCTCTCCCTCTCCCTCTGATCTTCCCCCACCCACTTATGTGTGTTCACGCTCTCTCTAAAATAAATAAGTAGGGGCGCCTGGGTGGCTCAGTTGGTTGGGCGGCTGCCTTTGGCTCAGGTCATGATCCTGGAGTCCCGGGATCGAGTCCCACATCGGGCTCCCTGCTCAGCAGGGAATCTGCTTCTCCCTCTGACCCTCTTCCCTCTCGTGCTCTCTCTCTCATATTCTCTCTCTCAAATAAATAAATAAAATCTTTAAAAATAAATAAATAAATAAATAAATAAGTAATGGGGTGCCTGGGTGGCTCAGTCGGTTAAGCCTCTGCCCTCAGCTTGGGTCATGGTCTCAGGGTCCTAGGACAGAGCCCCATGTCTGGCTCTCCTCTCAGCGGGCAGCCTGCTTCTCCCTCTCTCCCTGCCTGCTGCTCCCCCTGCTAATGCTCTCTCTCTCTGTCAAAGAAATAAAATCTTTAAAAAATAAAAAATAAAATAAATAAGTAAATCTTTTAAAAAACTGAAAAAACTAAAACAAAACAAAAAGAATTCATCCAGATTGGAAAGAAGTAAAACTGTATTCATAGATGATATGATATAATATAGAAAATCCTAAGGAATAGGGGCACCTGGGTGGCTCAGTCAGTTAAGCGTCTACCTTCTGCTCGGGTCGTTATCCCGCGATCCTGGGATCGAGCCCCAGGACAGGCTCTCTGCTCAGCGGGAAACCTGCTTCTCCCTCTGCCTGCCGCTCCCCCTGACTTGTGTGCTGTCTCTCTCAAATAAATAAATAAAATCTTTACTTAAAAAAAAAAAAAATCCTGAGGAATACACACACACACACACATACACAGTTAGAACTAATAAATGAGGGGCACCTGGGTGGCTTGGTTGGGCATCTGCCTTCAGCTCAAGTCATGATCCCAGGGTCCTGGAATTGATCCCCGCGTTGGGCTCCCTGCTCAATAGGGGGTCTGCTTCTCCCTCCGCCTCCCCCCACTTGAGCTCATTCTCTCTCTCTCAAATGAATAAATAAAACCTTAAAAAAAAAGAATAATTGAGTTCAACAAAGTTGCAAAATACAAGATCAGTACACAAAAATCATTGTTTTTCTGTACTGTAGCAATGAACAATCCAAAAATGGAAAAGAAAATAATTTCATTTATAACACCATCAAAAAAGTATAAAATGTATAAATGTATAAAAAGTATAAAATGCTTAGGAATAAATTTAACAAGATGTACATTGAAAACTACAAACTTCATTTAAGGAAATTAAAAAAGGTGTAAATAAATGGGAAGATTGCCTATGTTCATGGAGCTAAATATTGGAAAGGCTTATTTTATTAAGGGTTAATATTGGAAATATGGTAATACTACTCAAATCAATCAATAGATTCAACATATCCCTATCAAATCCCTCGCTGCCTTTTTTGAAGAAATTGACAATCCAGTCCTAAAATTCATATGGTAATACAAGGGACCCAGAATAGCCAGAACAGTCTTGAAAAAGAACAAAGTTGGAGGACTCACATTTCCCAGTTTGAAAACTTATTACAAAGTTACAGTTATGATGTAGACTAGCATAGGATAGACATGTAGATCAATGGAATAGACTTGAGAGTCAGAAGTAAGCCTTTATATTTATGCTCAATTGATTTTTTTTTTTTAATGTAGGCTCCACACCCAGCATGGGCTTGAACTCAGGACCCTGAGATCATGACCTGAGCCAAAACTAAGAGTCAGACACTTAACAGACTGAGCCACCCATACATCCCAGGGTGTCTGACTCTTGATCTTGGCTCAGGTCTTGATCTCAGGGTCCTGAGATCCAGCCTGGCATCGGGCTCCACACTTAGCGCAGAGTCTGCTTTTCTTCCTCTCTCTCTGTCTCTCCCTCTCTCTGCCCCTCCCCCCCAAATAAATAAAATCTTTAAAAAAAAAAGTCAGACATCCACCAACCAAGCCACCCAGACATCCCCGGTCAACTGATTTTTTTTTTAAAGATTTTATTTGAGAGAGAGAGAATGAGAGAGAGAGAGAGCATGAGAGGGGGGAGAGTCAGAGGGAGAAGCAGACTCCCTGCTGAGCAGGGAGCCCAATGCGGGACTCAATTCTAGGACCCCGGGATCATGACCTGAGCTGAAGGCAGTTGCTTAACCAACTGAGCCACCCAGGCACCCTCAACAGATTTTTTTGACAAGAGTGCCAAAGCAGGGGTACCTGGCTGGCTCAGTCAGTGGAGCATGCAACTCTTGATCTTGGGGTCATGAGTTCAATCCCTACATTGGGTGTAGAGCTTATTTAAAAAAAAAGAAAAGAAAAGAGAGTGCCAAGGCAATTTAATAGGGGAAAGAATTGTCTTTAATACATGTGTTGGGACAACTGGATACCCACATGCAAAACAATGCACTTGGACTCCTTTCTCACACAAACACCAAAGTTAACTCAAAGACCTAAAGTAAGGCCTAAATGTAAGAGCTACAGCTATAAAACTCTTAGAAGAAAACATAAATGTACCTCTTCCATTACATGACACCCAAAGCACAAATGACAAAAGAAAAAAATAGGTAATTGAATTTCATGAATATTTAAAGCTTTTGTATTCAAAAGATACCATCAAGAAAGTGAAAAATCAATTCTCAGTACAGGAGAAAATGTTTCAAATTATGTTTGAAAGTCCCTGATAAGGGACTTATACCTAGAACATATAAAATACTCTTACAACTCAACAATAAAAAGACAAATAGCCCAATTGAAAAATGGGCAAAGGATCTGATAGGCATTCCTCCAAAGAATATATACAAATGTTTAAAAAATATACTTAAAAAAAATAATCTACAAATGGCCAATAAGCACATGAAAAGTTGCTCAGTATCATGAGTCATTAGGGAAATACCAAAGCCACAGTGAGATACCACACCACCTCACACCCACTAGGAAGGCAATAATCAAAAAGATGGACAATAGCAAGTATTGATAAGAATGTGGAGAAATGGGAACACTTATATATTGCTTGTAGGAATGGAAAACAGTGTGGCCAGGCTAGAAAATACAATGCCAGTTCCTCAGAAGGTTAAACATAGCACCTGACCTAGCAGTCCACTCCTAGGTAAATACCAAGAGAAATAAGAACATACTTCCACACAAAAACTTATACATGAACATTCGTACAGAATTGCCCATAATAACCCCCAAATGGAAACAACCTGCATATCCATTAACTGATGAATCGATAAACAAAATGGGGAATATCCATACAATGAATACTTCTTGGTAAGAAAAGGAATGAAGTACTGATACATACTACAACATGAATGAACCTTGAGCGTTATGCTAGTCAAAGAAGCCAGACACAAAAGTCCACATTTTGTATAATTCCTTTTATATGAAATGTCCAGAATGGCAAATTTATAGAGACAGAAAGTACATTATTGGTTGCCAGGGGTTGCGAAGTAAAATGAGGAATGACTGCCAATGAGTATGGGGTTTCTTTCTGGTGTAGTGAAGATGTTTCGGAATTAGATAGTGATATGGGTGCACAACTCTGTGAATATACTTTGTAAAAAGTCAGTGAATTGTGTATTTTAAAAGAGTGAACTTTGTGGGCGCCTGGGTGGCTCAGTTGGTTAAGCGACTGCCTTCGGCTCAGGTCATGATCCTGGAGTCCCGGGATTGAGTCCCACATCAAGCTCCCTGCTCAGCAGGGAGTCTGCTTCTCCCTCTGATGCTCTTCCCTCTCGTGCTCTCTGGCTCTCATTATCTCTCTCTCAAATAAATGAATAAAATCTTTAAAAAAAAAATAAATAAATAAAAGTGAACTTTGTGATATATGAATTGTAGCTCAAGAAATATGTTATTAAACAAATAACAAATTTATACAAAAGAGAGAAAGAGGCAGAGGAGTATCTGCCATGGAAGCAGAGATTGGAAACTGGGCTGGGGATCCAAAGGATCCCCATGGGCAGCTCTTGGGGAAGGACCATGACTGACATTCCGGACCCTGCTTTATAGTCCAGCCTGTGTTACTGACTTACTTAGAACTCTTGAGCAAGACTCTGGGCCTCTCTCTGCCTAACTGGATTGTGTAGTTGCAAAAGACTGGAGATACTCTGTAAGTGCCTATCAGTAGAGGATACATATAATCCATAAAATGCAATAAATATAATCCATAAAAGCAATGCAGCTTTTGAAAAGAATGACATAGATATATAATAGCCAATATTTATGGGGTGTCACATGCTATCAAGCACTTTGATGAATACTTCATTTAAATGATATCAGCTTGTGAAATATAGTTCAAATTATTAGCCCATTTCAGAAGATAACACTAAGGCACAGAGGTTAATTACACAGCAAGATAAGATCCCAACCAAGGCATTTTGACCCCAGAGTTCATGCTCTAGTACAACATTTCTCAGAGTGTAGCTTGGGAACCCCAAAATCCTTGGGGGTCTGCAAGTTTAAAACAATTTTCATAATAGTACAAACACATTATTTGCCTTTTTCACTCTCATTCTCTCATGATAGTAGAGTGGAATTTTTGAGAAGCTACCTGATATATAGTATATCATCACTCTGTTTTAAAATTTCCTGTTTTCATTTCTAGTATGGTAAATATTGATAGCTATAACTCACATTAACAAAAACTCTTCTGGGGACTTAAGTAATTTTTAAGAGTATAAGAAACTTCTGAGATCAAAAAGTTCAGAACTGCCACTCTAGTCTAAACTTTTATCCTGTACTCATTTCTATATGTTATCAATCCATCTCTAAAATAAACTTTTGGTTTAAAGAAAAAAAGGATGTATAAAGGTGATTACAATATGCTCCTAGGTTAAAAAAAAAATGGAGAGGTGTCTATACATATACACAGGATTCACAGAACACTAACGGTGGTTGTCCATAGGGTGGGAGATCGGGGGCAGGGAATAGGGAAGCAGGAAGTTTTTTTTACTGTATATAGTTTAGTACTGTTAGATATTTATCTTCTACCATGTGTGTATATATTAACTTTTTTTAAAAAAAATTTTATTTATTTGACAGAGAGAGACACAGTGAGAGAGGGAACACAAGCAGGGGGAGTGGGAGAGGGAGAAGCAGGCTTTCCGCAGAGCAGGGAGCCAATGCGGGGCTCAATCCCAGGACCCCGGGATCATGACCTGAGCTGAAGGCAGACACTTAAGGACTGAGCCACCCAGGCACCCCTATATTAACTTTTTAAAAAATTTTTTTATTGTTATGTTAATCACCATACATTACATCATTAGTTTTTGATGTAGTGTTCCATGATTCATTGTTTGTGCATAACACCCAGTGCTCCACACAGAATGTGCCCTCTTTAATACCCATCACCAGGCTAACCCATCCCCCCACCCCCCTCCCCTCTAGAACCCTCAGTTTGTTTTTCAGAGTCCATTGTCTCTCATGGTTCGTCTCACCCTCCGACTTACTCCCCTTCATTCTTCCCCTCCTGCTATCTTCTTTTTTTTTTTTTTAACATATATTGCATTATTTGTTTCAGAAGTACAGATCTGTGATTTAACAGTCTTGCACAATTCACAGCGCTCACCATAGCACAGACCCTGCCCAATGTCTATCACCCAGCCACCCCATCCCTCCCACCCCCCTATATTAACTTTTTAAAACAAAGTTTTGAAAGGCAGCCTTAAGGAAAAAGAGAGAGAAATCACTAGAGTGATTAGGTGTTTCTTCTGACTTTGCCGTCCTGTGGTTGAACTCTCAGGGGCTTAGCCTGCACCTTGATATAAGGATCAGCATGTCTGTTCTACCCACTTGTAGGGATACAGGAAGAATAAAATATTGGATGTAAAAATACTTTGAAAGCATTAAGCCCTCGGTGGGAGGAGGACCTTGTTAATCAATTTGAAAGTTTCATGAATGTGTTCACCAATTTTCTTTTAGGTTTGTTTTGGGGTTCACAGATTGGAGGATCAGATGTAAATGTAAAATGTAAACATACTATTTTACAGTTAATCATACAAAAGAGGCCTTTGTAGACATATATGTTTCTGATGTGTGTTTTTAGGATCAAGAAATGCAGAAATTACTATGAAATTCTGGGAGTTTCTCGAAATGCCAGTGATGAAGAGCTTAAGAAAGCTTACCGAAAACTCGCCCTGAAATTTCACCCTGACAAGAATTGTGCCCCTGGAGCAACTGATGCTTTCAAAGGTCTGATCCTGAATTAATGTTTACTTCTGCCCTTGTCAAGTTGTTTTCAGCCTCCCCTATAATCGTTTTATAAGGCCACAAGTAGGGCCTTTCTTTTCTGCCATACCTCTTAAATAGTGATGATCGGCATAGCTCCCTCTCGTCTTCATTCACTTACCTTAATTTCTTTTGGGAATAAAAATATTTGATTTCTCTGTAATGGTACCTTTTTAGATGTGAGACATAAATAAAAATCTTACTTAAGAGCTTCACCCCCAAGGAAGCCTTTGATTCAGGCAAGAATTATCAATGGATGCTAAAACTGCCGGGTGACAGGTTTTTGCTGAATAGGATATTCACATGATTGTCAGAGCATCATCCCCCAGAATACCTACTGATTTCAAAGGGGAAAAATTGCTTTATAATGGAGATATCTAGCTGTCACCACTTTAACCCAGTAATCCAACTTATCGTCACCAATACTGGACCCACCTCACATTATATGATATGGCACCTGTGTGGTATTCTTTTTTTTTTTTTTAAGATTTTATTTATTTGAGAGAGAGAATGAGATAGAGAGAGACAGCATGAGACGGGGGAGGGTCAGAGGGAGAAGCAGACTCCCGGCTGAGCAGGGAGCCCGATGCGGGACTCGATCCCGGGACTCCAGGATCATGACCTGAGCCGAAGGCAGTCGCTTAACCAACTGAGCCACCCAGGCGCCCCCTGTGTGATATTCTTACCGAAATGTTCAACCTGAATCTAATAATGAGGAAACCATCAAAATATGGGACATTCTACAAAGAACACTGACCTGCTCTTCAAAAAAGTCAATATAATGAAAAGCAGAAAAGGCAGGTGACTATGCTAGAGGAAAAGAAACTAAAAGGATATAAAAGCAAATACATGAACCTCGCATGAATTGCATGGGTTGAAGTTAATTTTCTTAGCTATGATAATGGTACTGTGATCACGTAGGAGATTCTTCTAGGAGGTAGATGCTGAAATATTTAGGGATGACGTGCCATAATATCTGCAGCCTTTCAAATGGTTCAGCAAAAGAAATGTACACATACTACATGTATGCATGTATTTATGTATGTATGGAGAGTTGAGGGAAGCAATGTGGCAAATACTAACAGTTGATGAATCAGATAGAGGGTATACATGTATTTATTTACTATTTTTTCAAATTTTCTGTAGATTTGGAATTTTTCTAAAGAAAGAGTAAAAAAATTTTAAAAGTCAACGTTTACCTCAAAAGATAATCTCCCTTTGTTGATGTGCCATTGTGAATCTTGTTCTCCCCACAGTTTCTACAAGGAAACAACTAGATAACCCACATTCTCTTTACACCTTCACATAAAGTATCTCACAGACTAATGCCATTTCTATGAGAAATTGGCCAGATTTCAAGGGATGTGATGTTGAAGCAACTATTTAGCCTTTTTTTTTTTTTTAAAGATTTATTTATTTGACAGAGAGAGACACAGCGAGAGAGGGAACACAAGCAGGGGGCGTGGGAGAGGGAGAAGCAGGCTCCCCGAGGAGCAGGGAGCCCGATGAAGGGCTCGATCCCAGGACCCTGGGATCATGACCTGAGCCCAAGGCAGACGCTTAACGACTGAGCCACCCAGGCGCCCCCTATTTAGCCTTTTTTGTTTGTTTTTTCTACTTAACTGTTATATTGCTGTAAATATTTAATATAATTCCCTCGCTAGAAGAATCATAAAGAAATGCTCTTTCTGACTGTGTTTCTCATAGTGTTGGCTGAATTAGAGGCAGGGAATGGGGATGTCTTAAAGATTTCTTTTCAAGGTTTCTTTGATTAGTGGCACTGATTGCATATTTAAATGAATTTTAATTGGACATTTGCACATTTGTGCATAGGGAGAAGAGGTGATAGTAAGCATGTGTAATCTATCCAGTCTTTGATCTGTCATTGAGACACTGGAGATAGGTTTCTTAATTTCTAAAGCCTACTTTCTAAAGTAAGCTGAAACGTGACTGTGATTAGTGAGGACTTTGCTTTTAGCCAAGCAATTGATTTTACTGATTATTTTATTTAGGAGATTGTTTCTGACTTCAAGTTAGAATACCACTGCTTATGTATGAACTGTTGCTCTCAAGGAAAATAAGGACACATTTTTGATGAATGAAAGCAGTAGTTCTTAGTTCATCTTGAGTCCAGTATTGCTTCTGGCTTATCAAACTAGATCACGGAAAATGTCAAGGGCAAGAACTCTGGTGAACTTTCTAGGTCCAAGCACCTTTTCTTAGGCCCCTGTGAGGTCATCCAGCAGCCAACAGCTCTGGGCTCTTCATTGCTGCTTCTTGCATCACCCTCAGCTACAGCAAAAACCGTGTCCTCAGATACTTTTTGGTTTTGGTTGCAGCAATAGGAAATGCTTTTGCAGTCCTGAGCAATCCTGACAAGCGACTCCGCTATGATGAATATGGAGATGAACAGGTGACTTTCACTGCCCCTCGAGGCAGACCTTATAATTATTACAGGGACTTCGAAGCTGACATCACTCCAGAAGAGCTATTCAATGTCTTCTTCGGAGGACATTTTCCTACAGGTGAGTATTTCAAAATTATAGCTGAAAAACATATATATATACACACACACATATATATATATACACACACATATATATGTGTGTATATATATATATATTTCTGTATCTCAGCTAGCTCCTCTTTGAGGATCTGAATAGAGGGACCATGGTATGGTGGAAAGAGCAAGAATTTGGAATCAGGGCGCCTGGGTGGCTCAGTCAGTTAAGTGTCTGCCTTTGACTTGGGCCATGATCCCAGGGTCCTGGGATCGAGCCCTGCATCGGGCTCCCTGCTCCGCAGGAAGCCCGTTTCTCCCTCTCCCTTGACTGCCGCTCCCCCGGCTTGTGCTCTCTCTCTCTCTATCAAATAAATAAATAAAATCTTAAAAAAAAAGAAAGTATTTGGAATCACATGAGCTGGGGTTTGAGGCAAGTCTCCAGCCTCCAACTGTGCATGCTTTTAACCAAATCACTTGGTCTCTCTGATCCTGTTTCCTCACCTGAGAAATGGGACTGATAATATCTACCTCACAGGGCTGCTGTGAGGATTAGATATTTTTAAGTGCTTTATAAATAAGTAGCAAGATGCCTATTATCATTATTGCAAAGTAGCAGCTATATAAAGATAAAAGTTAGAAAACTACCTCCAGAGAGTTCGATGTTGGGGTAATTATTATTTTTTTTTTTTAGATTTTATTTATTTATTTGACAGAGAGAGAGGGAACACAAGCAGGGGGAGTGGGAGAGGGAGAAGCAGGCTTCTCGCAGAGCAGGGAGCGCGATGCGGGGCTCGATCCCGGGACACTGGGATCATGACCTGAGCTGAAGGCAGACACTTAACAACTGAGCCACCCAAGCACCCCCGATATTGGGGTAATTAAATGCCCAGGAAGTAAACTGAATTTTATGAATTGCTGTTAAAGATACTAGTGTTGGGATGCCTGGGTGGCTTAGTCAGTTGGGCATTCAACTCTTGATCTCAGCTCAGGTCTTGAGCTCGGGATTCTGAGTTCGGGCCTCATGTTGGACTCCATGCTGGGTGTGGAGGAAAGAAAGAAAGAGAGAGAGAGAAGGAAGGAAGGAAGAGAGAAAGGAAGGAAGAAAGTAAGAAGGAAAGGAAGGAAAGGACGAAAGAAAGGAAGGAAGGGAGGAAGGAAGGGAGGAAGAAAGAGGAAGGAAGACACTAGTGACATAATCTGATATTGGGCAAGGAAGCAGAAAAGAGCGTGTCAGACAGGATTCATGGCCCAAATGCTCTTTCTTTACTAGACTTTTGGGGTTCTCTCACTCACTAGTTCCAAAGGACTATTTAAATAAAAGCAGGAGAACTAAGCACATTCCATTTACACCTGGTTCACTTGGTTTACCTACTGTTTTCTTTTTCTGCTGAGTAAAATGGGACAATACTCTACCATCGGAGAACCTAGCTGGGAGCAAGGAGCTTGGAAAAAGCAAGGAAGGAGTGTTTGCCATATCCCATGCTAAGTTTTTCTTTCTTTCCCAGGAAACATTCATATGTTTTCACACGTGACCGATGATAACCACTATTACCGCCGGCGGCACCGACGTGAGCGGACGCAGACGCGGAAGGAAGAAGAAGCAGAAAAGCCTCAGGTACCAAGGGCAGACAGCCCAACTACTGCTCATCCACACTTGTACTGAGCGGACTCTTACGGCGTCTACGATCAGGTTTTGGAAGTTCAACTTGAGTCATGTTGTTAAAAGGTGTTTTAGGAAAGCAGAGGTAATGGTAGGAAGGGGTGGACCACTGGCCCAAATAGGCCAGAATGGTACCTCCTTCCCCACCCGTTCTTCGGTGGTTGTTCCAGGAAATCAGTTCCCCTGTGGGGCTGTCTTGACCAAGGTTTTCTTCCCTGCAGAAAATAGGAACCCCCTTCAAAATATTCAGAACTGAAGGGAGTTTAAAGTAAGGGATCTAGGGGGTCTCATGAAGCTCAAGGGCAGGAAGCGCACATGGGCCTCAGGACAGATGGGAACCAGAAACTAAGGTACAGTCAGGCACCCATGCAGCTATCTTTCCATGACTCTTTGTGGCCAGATTGTCTCCACCTTTCCTGCCTCTCTGCATCTGCTTTATTCTCTCTAAGCAGCCTAGCTTGTTCTTCCTCTTACAGATAGCCCATCCACACTGCCTAAGAGTACATGTCCTTTCTTCAAGTGACTGCCCAGCAGTGAACAGTATGATGAGTCTCAGTTCCAAACTCCTGGGAGGGAGAAGTGATTACCCCTGCTAGGGTTAGATGTCTCCCAGTCCATTCAGCTGTGGCCAAGGCGACAGAGCTGCATAATACTAACGTGGCCCCATGGGAGTCACAGTCTGGGCAGACTCACCCAGAAGTGTCTGCTTCATTGGTCTTAGAAAAGGGGGCTGCATGAGAATTACTGGGTGTTGTCAAGACAGGTTGTGGGTAGGTCTCCTTCAGTCTTCTCCGCAGAGAGAACAGCCTTCCTAGAAAAGCTTTGGGCTTTGTGCAATATATTGCAGTAATTTGAATTTTCTTTGGGAAAACTATCCTGTTTTCTGTAAGCTTTATATTGATGAAGAACACTTACGCCAAATATTTTTTCTTTTTCAGACCACGTATTCTGCATTTATTCAGTTACTTCCAGTTCTTGTGATTGTGATTATATCTGTCATTACTCAGCTGCTAGCAGCTAATCCCCCATACAGTCTATTCTATAAATCGTAAGTCAAATATTTATAAATCTTTCTTAACAATTTGGAGGGCAAAAGACTTGAACATTTTGCTGGTACTGCTAACATTTCATTTCGCCTTTGTAGAAAACACGGATTTTTTTGTTTAAAGGAACAGCAGGATAGTAATAGTGCAGAGACTCAAAATTACTGTAGGCGGTTCCTGTGTGCTCGGGCCACGGATTATTTTGCTCCACAGCGACATCATCCGGTCAGCCGCAGAACAGCAGCAACTGGTTTCTGAAGGATGAATAGACTAACTCCAGTTTCAAATTAAATCCGTATCATCATGTTAGCTTTAGAATGGACCCTATTGAGCTTGTGATCGGATCACTGGACTCCTCCGGGTTGGGAACATAGTATCTGAGATCCAGTGATTATTTTCAATTTAAGTAATTGGAAGAATGGGACATTTATTCATGATGAGGCTACACAGTCAAACCATAGTATCACATTTCTTTGCTATGAGCTATGATAGGAATTTCTTTATTTCTTCAATTAATTATTTCAATTAGTTCAGTTTTCATAGTTCGGTCCCCAGACCAGCATCATCTAGAGCAACTGGCAACATGTCAGAAATGCAAATTCTTAAGCCTCACACCATACATATTGAATCAGAAACTCTGAGGATGAGAACTAGCAATCTGAGTTTTAATAAGCTCTCCAAATAACTCTGGTTCATAGTCTGAGGATCACTGGATTAATTTTTTTTTAAGTAGGCTCCACACCCAGCATGGAGCCCAACATGGGGCTTGAACTCACCACCCTGAGATCCAGACCTGAGCTGAAATCAGGAGTCAAACACTTAAACAACTGAGCCACCCAGGCATCCCACTGGATTAATTATTTTAAGTTAGATGAGAAATGAGTCATTACTCATTATGGTTTAGCAGACAAAAACCTTACAAAATGGGGGACCTGGCTGGCTCAGTTCGTACAGCATGCAACTCTTAATCTCGGGGTTGTGAGTTCAAGCCCCACATTGGGTGTAGAGGTTACTTAAAAATAAAATGTTTAAAAAAATAAAAAAAAAACCTTAGAAAATGTGGAACCCATGGGGCAGTACATAACAGGAAGAGTCTTTGCTAGCAATCACTGTAGACTGAAGACTGTATTCTAGATCAGTATCTTCATTTTACAGAGAAGAAAGCTGAGTCTCAGAGAGGGGTTTTTACTATCAGGTCACTCTGGCCTGATTCCCTCTATTTCCCGACTTCCTGTGTTTCTCCATTTGCTACTTCTCCCTCCTTTTTTGCCCAGCTAGTGGGGCAGAGAGGAACCGGCCCTGCTAACACCTTCCCAGATGGAGGTGGGAGCAGTCATGGCCTGAACCCTTAGACATCCAGCACGATGCTTAAGTAGAGAGATCAAAGGAGAAAGCTGGGAAAATATTAACTACAGTTGAGATGGAATTTGTCTAGTTTCAATAAAACTAGCCTGGATTTTGCACATTGCTGTCACATTGTTTTAACTTGAATTTGAGCTTCTTTCTATACTTCCTTTTGGTTAGTATTTAGTTAACCCAGACCTACTGATGTTTCTGAGCACCACATACCATTGGAAATATTAGACCCACAGAGAGTTGGTGCAGAAGCATCACTGAAATCTTTTGTCTGAGGTTTTTGCAGTTCTCACTTAGCAGCTGTGTGTGAAGTACTTTCTCTCCTGTCCTAAAAATTGATGCTAGGTTGGTGTAAGCTATCTGGTTATTTGTGACTGTAACGATCAGTTCATTTGCTCAACGTTTACCAATAGCCTGGTCTGTGCCAGGTACTATGCTAGGTCCTACACAATGTACAACATTTTTTTAAGCATTCAGCACTCGTGCTCACTTCGGCAGCACATATACTAAAAAAAGCATTCAGCACTCAACTTTTAGCACAGAAAGCAATATAAGAGAGGTAAATCCTTGAAGAGAATAAAGTAACTATACTGAGGCTGAATTCACAATATGAATACACTCACATAATGATGACATTACAGTTGCTACAGAAATAATAAATGTTAGGAGTATTAGACAGTGGTACTTGCATCTGCCCTATGAAGAGGGGATTATGGTCATGATATCTGTGCAGTCAGTGCTAAAAGTAAGATTGTCAAATATAACCAGCTTACCTGAGCCTCCCTCTCCTTGTCTCAGGACCTTGGGCTACACCATCTCTAGAGAAACGCAGAACCTGCAGGTGCCTTACTTTGTGGATAAAAACTTTGAGAAGGCCTACAGAGGAGCATCTCTCCGTGACCTGGAGAAGACGATAGAGAAGGATTACATTGATTACGTCCAGACAAGCTGTTGGAAGGAGAAACAACAAAGTAAGATATTCTAAAAAGGGACTTTAACTGGTGGTCATGCTTCCGACCTGAGGCATGCCCAGCTTCCCAATCCCTCCTCTCTCCTTGTTTGAGTAGCACGTGTTTATGTGATCAGAGACAGGACAGAGACCCATTTGGGACACCACCAAAAAAGTGAATTTCATCGTCAGGATACATGTGGCCAGAATTTGGAAACCTGAGGAACTTAGGCAGGCAGCATTAGTTGCCTATCCATCTGTCTGTCCCTGAGTGTCTGCTTCTCTCTGCCCGTCTGCCCCACTCTCCTCTCTGCCAATTGCCTTCCTTTGCTTCTTCAAGCTTTCCTCCTTCATAACCTGGTTTTGCCCTGGTTGGTTTTGGTTGCTACCCTCCCCGTCGCTTTCCCAGCTCCCACAACGCCACTAGTTATTGGCCCCTTTCTAGCTGGATTGGTCCAGTTTCGTAATTCCACATTCCCTATGGGAAAATCTGATTGATCCAGCCTAATTTTTTGAGCCAGACCAAAAGTCAGTGCTAGCCGGCTGGGGCCACCTAGATCAAAAGTGACCCTACCTCTGGGTCTGCCCCTTCAATAAGGGTGGGTTTGAGCAGGCCTTCCACTCTGTTCCCTCTCTGGAGACAATGGGGGTGTCAGGATCCTCCAGTTGGCTTACAACTCCAGTTGAGTATTAATGGGGAGTGCTGGTAGCAAGGGTAGCCCTGCCTCTCAGCCAACAGGTTCACTTTTCATCCCAGTTGAATTCTACACATACACACACGTATGCACACCTGTGCGGGGGGCAGGGGGGCACATACACACAACCTTAATAACTGTATCTTATAAAATGTGGCTTTAATTTTTAAAAAGCAAACGAACTCATTTTTTAAATGGTGTAACTGGATATCATTAAATGTCTACCAGTGCCTGATAAGATTAGCTCTTCAGTCACAGTGCTGCTAAGCCCTTGCTGACCCATCATGCAGCCCACCCCCACCCCCACGTTAATCTGTCCTTCCTATGTGTTCTTAAAACACCTGGTCCGTGCTGCTAACACAGTACTGCTTTCAGCATTCGTGCGCTGTAGGTACGTGTCAGTCTCCCTGCCAGACTGTGGGCCTCTGACAATAACAGCCATGTCTTACCAATCTTGTGTCCCAGGCCCCTGGCACCATCCTTGCTCCAGAACAGGTGTTTAACAAATGTCCTTGGAAGAGAGGATTCTCAGGCCTGGAAAATAATGAAAGTGTGTGCGGATTAAAAATCACAGAGCAGGGTTAGCATCCTTACCCTAGCCCCTAGGGACCTTGTCTCTGCCCTCTACTTCTATAGGGCAGAGCCCACCTCCACTCTCAGGTGCATTAGGAGCTTGATGGGCAATGATTCTGAGATGTAAGGGGAAATTAAGCAGGAGGAAGTTGCTTTTTAAAATTTATTGAAAAATAAATACTGAAAAAAACTGAGGAGGTCAGGAAGTACCCTACCTCATGTTAAACTAGTTGTTGCGAGTTTCAAAGATCAGGAAAGAATTTTGGAGCAAGAAAAGGCTTTGGACAGAAAGGCATTTTATACACAGATCTAAATCAGGTGAAGGCCACAGTGTGTGTCCTAAAAGTCCCCATTGTATTCAACCCTGGGAGGGTTTTGAATTTGTTGCTTTCTGCAAGAACTGGATGAAAATCTGCATTTCACATTCTTCAAACACACACACACCCACATACACTCCCTAGCTGGAACTATGCAAAGAGCTCACGGTAAAGATTACATCTAAAATGGCTTTTAGGCTTCTCCCCATATTCATGAGGCCTAGTTTCAGGACTTTGGTACTGTCTAGGTATAAATAAAAATCCAATGGGTAAGCATGATGCATGTACCCACAAGTTCCAAAGAGGGGGTTATCTGCACACACCCCTTAAAAATCTATTTCTGGCATTTAAGGGTGGTTGTCCAGACTCTCTCCACAACCCAAATGCCATTTGAGAATGAGCAGCATGTGCCCTCCAGATCCAGCAGCAAGTGCCGCCAGGGTTAAATTTAGCACTTGGAGGTTGTAAAAATAAACCCACTTGAGAACAAAGTTCACTCTTGGCAAAATACCGAATGGAAACTGTTTTTAGCAAAGTTAGCCATTGTCTTTTTTAATCTTTTGTTCATTTCTCTTCTGTTTTCCCTTAGAATGCTTAATCTGAGTGAACTGTGAGTAATCCCCTACTATGAACACTGATTGCCCTGTTTACTCCTCCACAGCTGCATCTAGATAATTAACCCAATGCCAGGGGAAGTGGCCACCGGGCTGGGATGGACAAAAGTAACAGGCAGGATCTGCCGCCCAGCCTGGCAGAGCTGAGCTGAGATCCTGGCCCTGCCCGGCTGAGGAGCACTTTTTCCATGCCTTGGACCAGGGCAGCACCGTGGGTAGAAGCTCAGGCTTTGAAACGGGGATAAGACGCACTTCCTCCTAGAGACGCCGTACAGGCTATAGAAGAGGGTATGGGTATAATGCTTAGCCTGGTGTCTGGCATATAGTAAGCGCTTGGTTCCTGCTGGAGTCCAGGCCTTGCGTGACCTGGCTAGACTGGATGTAGTTCTGTCTCATGGAGCTGGATCCTGAGGGTGGCTGGGATCCTCTGCGGTCTTCCAGACCACAAGAGTGCAGAGGGTTCTTTGGAGGGGCTTTGGGACTTGTTTCTTTAGCAATTTGCCTGAGTCTGTTTGCCTGGAAGGCTCAATGCTCTGTCCATCTATCACAAGAGGCAAGGGAAACATTTGGTAAAGAAGAAAAAAAAAAAAAGAAAGAAAAGCTGTTGTCTTGATGCCCCTTCCAAGGATTTTTTCTCTTTTTTTTACTTAGAAGTCACTGAGTATTAACAGTCAAAATGTATCAAAAGTAACATATTAATTGAGCTGACCTTTTACTCATAGAAGGGCAAAAGCATTCACTGGCAGTCTGGAGAGAAGTTTCTCCAAGCATGGTGGTGGGCATTTGGGACGTGGTTCCTTGAAACACTGGCATTGTTGCAAAGTCATTGATCTGGAGCAGGGGGTCTCAACCCCTGGAGCATGGAAACTTGGTTTTAATGAACTTTATGTAAAGCTATGTGACATTTTGAGAAAAGCATCCATCTAATCCTTCATCAGCTTGTTAGAGTGGACTTCAATGTAGAAAACAGTAAGAATCACTAGCCCTTAATTCTTTCTAGAATGAGATGTCAGGCAATGAGGCATTGAGATAAGCTCAGCAAACAAAAAAACCTAAGGAAATCGTTGAAGGAAAAGCAAAGCCACAGAATCTGTTCCATATGCGGGCATAACAGTGACTCCAGAGGACCAAAGGCATAGAGGCCTCCTGAACAGGTTTCCCACACGCCAGAGAAGCCAGGGAAATGGAGTTGGTGCAGTGGGCACGCCCCGGGGTGGGGAGGGGCTTTCATTTGGGCATGGCACCCGGTCCTCCAGGAAGCCCCATCGCCTGCAAGGATGACGGTGCCAAGGCAAAGCCCCGGCAAGCAGGCAGCGTGGGCACCCGCATAAGCGGGTGAGAGCACATTGTTCTGGGGCCCAGGAGCCACGCCGCTTGCCAAGCCACTGCTGGGCTAGGGCCCGGGCTCTAAGCCTCCATTGTAGAGGGAGGGTTTTCATGCATGGCCACCCCTCACCCTGGAGTCCTGCACTTAATCTGCACTTTGGGCCTTACTTGGTGTAAATAGAATCATTGTGAGCAGAAATGCCAGACAGCGTTTTGTGTTGATAGAAACTTATTCAGAAACCAATGCCCATTGTTCCCCCTGGCTAAGTATTAATTCCTATTTCCAGTCAGTTTGCTGATTAATCAGACAGGTGCCTCTCGTTCCAGCAAGAAAAACAAAATCTGTTGGCAGGATGATTAAGAATGGATAGACATATTTCAAAATGATTAAAATAGCATTTTCACAAGTATGGTCCTTTAAACACTGAGGAGCTGCCTGCTGTCAGAGGCTTTCAGAAGCCACACGGCCCATCCAAGCGTGCCATCCTGTTAATACACAACACGTCTCTGGGGGGTGCTTTTCAGGCTTTCCTTCCTAAGAATGTCTCTGAAACTTGACAAAAGAATGAAAACTAGAGGCAGCCAAACCGCCGTTGCGTCGGCAAAGACAGCAGAGATTATATTCTGGTTAAAAATAGAATGACCTTCTCCACCATGAAGAGAAAATGAAATTCATTTAGTCAAGGAGACAAAGGTCACCGGATCCAGATGATTTCACTTTTCAAAGAGCCCAGCTGCCTTTGGCCTTTGAGTTAGGGACCCCACATGTGGTGAGGGAATGAAGAAAGCGGCCAGCAGCCTGGCCTTCTATAGAAGGCATGCCCACCGGAGGGAGGCTCTGTGTCAGTTAGCATGTCTGAGTTATGATCCAGCAACGCAGGGGACAGAATGGAGCAGCTGTCTTTGTTTCAGATGACAGGAGCAGGCGATTGGGCTCCACTCTCTCCCAACTGCCATCTGAAAGCCATCCATACGAAGGCCGTGAAACGGAGTCTCCTCTTACTGCACACGTGCACATTTCCTAAGTCTGGTGCCAAATGTTCTATTGATAAGAACTAAGCCCAGTGCTTTTATAATAGAGCATGGATACTGTAGGACTCCGGGACCACAGGTGGCCTTTAATCCTCGGCACCTGGTGTAGCGTAGCTGCCGGATTCGCGTTTCTCGAATAAATGAGTAAGCGTTTCTTAAATTTAATTAAAAGAAAAAGCATGAAAGTAAAAGGAGCTTTGATTCCAGAAATATTGAAACAAAACAAAGGAGCCCAACTCTCTTGATGAATTGGTTGCCTCTTTTATCTTTCAGAGTCGGAATTGACAAATTTGGCAGGATTATACAGAGATGAACGACTGAAACAGAAGGCAGAGTCGCTGAAACTTGAAAACTGTGAAAAACTTTCCAAACTTATTGGCCTGCGCAGAGGTGGCTGAGAGGATGCTAGTCCTACACAGGGTTGGGGTTTTGCTACTTGTTACTATTTATGTTCCTAATTCCATTTTATAATACAAAATTAGGAAATGACGAACATTTTACAAGTTGCTAACTTTGGTGGGCAGAGCTGAAGGCACTTGAGCATGGAGCCAGACTTGTCATCACAGAAGCCTTCCTGGAGATTGGCTCCAGGGGCCACGAACCGTTCATCTGAATTGAATTAAAGGCCAAGCATTTGATGCAGCCCCCCTGCTCCTTGCCTACCCTGCCTCTAGGATTGTAGTTCAGGCATCCCAGGGCAGATGCACATTGTCTTCCTCCTTCCCTTCTTCAGTTAAGTCTCGATACCCAGTCATTCCTAGGCATGGCCAAAGCAGCTTCATATTAGTTGTTTACAGTGTACACCAAGAATGATACCTCTCCCTTCCTGTGAGTCATCGTGGCCCCTGGCAATGAGCCCTTGGAACAGGTGCCTGCCCAACTTCGCATTTTCTAAGGGAAATGTGGAGAGATGTAAACTATTATTACAGTCAGTAGTTTTCCATTTGCCTGTCTCTGTTCAGAGTTACTGGCATTAGCAAACTGCCTGAATTGAGTTTCTTTTACTTCCTTAACCCTTTCTCTTGTAGAGGGTCCAGAAAGTAAAAGCCACTGGGTAAAGGAAACAGTTCTATGGACAGCCCAGCAGCAGAAAGCAGGGACCCGGGGATGAAGGTAAAACGCAAGACTGAGTCTCAGCTTCTCAATGCAGGTTCCCCAGTCCGTCACAGAACCGGAGAGTATGGGTGGTTTTTTGCCATTTCCTCTTGCAGCATCACACTTGACCGGAGTCCCTGCACCCCACAGAAGGACAGTGGTCAGGCCTAAGAGCAGGTATTGCTGACCACCCAGGCTGGTTGCTCAAGCCTAGAGCTGGAGGGGAACGACCCTCTTTCCATTGCTTTGGAGGTCAGTGTTGGTCCCAGCCGTCCCTGTCTTTACCCCAGGGCCCCATAGCTTGTGACATGAGATGCCTTTTCATTTGTCAGCATTTATTGAGTGCCTAGTATGAAGCAGGAGCTCTCACATATATTTTCTTATTTTAGCCTCCTCACAACTCTGTGAAGGAGACATGTTATCCCTTTGTTTATGAAAGAGAACACTGGCCCAGAGAGGATGAATGGCTGACCCAGTCATACAGCTGGTAATGGCAGAGCGAGGTGGTAGGCTGACCCTGGGACCCTGTATCATTTTTACGGCAGCCCTGCGTTCACTCCAGACACCTTCCTCCCTGGCCTTGAGGAAGCAAGACCCTCTCTATAACAATTCTGTATACAACACAAGAGGTCCCTCAAAAGCAGGCGGCCCTTCCCACTGGTGACAAGGAAGAGGTAAGTTACTGCCTAGGCCCCGTGGTTCTGGGCCCTCTCCTCTAGGTGAACTTCCAGGGTTGAGCTAGCTGCCTAGATCATCATGAGTCAGAACCTGGAAGATCAATAGGTGACTGTAGTCTACACTCCATGTTTTCTTCAGGAGGGAAGGAAAGTTCCTATATCAAAACTGATTTCCAAAGTAGAGTTTGTCCTTTCAGAGGCACAGCCTTGATTTAGGCAGACATGTCTAGCCTGGTTCAACATGGACATTTCACAGGGTCAGGAGATGGGTCCAGAGGTGAAGAGTGGATCTTTGGTGGCTGGTAGGGGACACCTGCTCGGCTGTGGGGAGGGGAGCAGCTCCAGAGATAGCCAGATTTTGCTGCTCAACTGGGTCTATCTTCCTGGTTTGGGGGACTTCTTTGATCCTTTCTGAGTAGCTGAGGGGATTTACACTATAAAATATGCCTGTGAGCCAAACAGGCTTATGGAAAGATTCCCTACACACACACAAATCAAAGCTCTCCCCTCCCCAGCTCCAGTCTCTGCTAGAAAAAAGGGGCCATGATTAAATTGACTTGACATAGATTTCATGGCAGAGATGAGTTACCTGTGATGAAGTGTCATCAAGAGAGGTAAAACTAACTCCATTAAGCACCAGGTCTCTTGTCTGTTTTCATAGCACTGATGGTACTGTTGTGTTTATCACCTGAGAGACTGCACCACCTCTGGCTTTCCTCAGCAGAAGGGTATTTGCCTTTGTTGAAGAATAGTTTAATCTATTTGGCACGGTCCAGAATATGGCTACACTCTAATTTCCTGGGTTCTATTTTAGATGAGTTGTCTGCATGGTGGTAAAATAAGCGTCTTCCTCTTGCCTACATCTTTTGGAAGGGTTCCTGATGATGTATAAACTCCTTAGGTCAGGCTGATTCTTGCTGTGTTGCCATGTCGCTCTCTGCATTAATGCAGAATGGAGAGAGCTAGCTCTGAGGTGGGAGTGGGGCTAAGAAGCAGGGCTAGCGGCTCACGCAGAAGGTGAAGTTCCCACTCCTCAGAATGAAAGCGCTCTCTGCGCCGCCTGATCAGCAGTGAGGAGGGGAGGGGGAAAACCTTCTCACACAGAGGACACCACAGCTTCAAGGAATCCGTGTCCCCACATTAGCAACCCTGGGGTTCATCTGTTCAAACCAGAAAACTTCTGAACTTCCTTGATCAGCTCCAGGCCTCCCAACTTGGGACAAGTGACCAGTAAGAAAATGCCGTTGCTATGCTTTCTGTTGGAAACTCTTAGAAATCACACTGAACTCCAAACCCCACTGGAACATGGGATCCAGCAGCCCCGCCAAGCCTTGTGTGTTCCTCATTTTCCTCCTCACGCTCAGGACTGGCTTTGTGAGGAGGCACTGGTGGGATTCCAGAAGTTTTCTGTTACAACTGGCCACACTTACTAGTTCATTGTCTCTGCATGCTCTGTTCCTCACAGAAGCTAGCTCTTAATTAGTATTTATTTTGGACTCATTTATGGTATAAGCTTAGTGTTCTAATATATTTATTTCTGGAAAGGGCCAAGTTACTCTACATCATATTTTTTGAGCCTGTGTTGTTGATACCTCCTGCAATGACCACTGAGTAACTATATATCCATGTGTTCGATATTGATTACATCATTTGCATCACACTCAGTATGTGGAATTAAAGATGTGAATGTTCTGTGACCAGAGCCGGGTTTGACACAGATGGAATCAGCTCCGGGGGGAATACGAATCCTGAAAACTCTGGTCACCTGATCCACTGCATCTGGATTGAGTGTAATTTAACAGAGAAAGAAATTAAACGATTTTATATAAAAAGAATGGGTCTATATTTTCCCTTTGTTCTTTTACCCTTGCTCATGTCATCCTTGGGCACCACATACTGCCTCACTCCCTTGGAGCCACTTGGGACTAGAGGAGGCCTAGTGTGTCTCCTCTGCACCAGCCTTCCCGAATCCATCACTGAAACTGTTGGTGTTTAGAACAACAGATAACTGGTGGCATCGCCAATTCTGTAGTTTTTTTCCATCAGGTAACAACAGCAGCCGAAGCCTATTACAGCCAATGTACAGAGCTAAACTACTTAGCTTCCAAAAACCAGGTGGTATCCCAGTTCCTTAATGGCCTTGTTCCCAATGACCCATGTTGAGGATGGGTCATGGGAGACGCCTGGCTGACTCAGAAGAACATGTGACTTTTGATCTCAGGGTCATGAGCTCGAGCCCCAGGTTGGGTGCAGAGATAACTAACAATAAATAAAAGACTAAAAGTACAATGCATGGTTCATAATAATACCTTTCATTTGGAAAAAGATGGAGATGAGATTCAATTCATCAAAGATGGAGAACTTACTCTGTGTCAAGTGGGCTGAGTTTGGGGATGGGGTTGGGGAACAAGTGAGACCCAGCACCACGGGCTCCTGGAGCTCACATCTGAGGGGGAAGCTAACTTCAGACAATGCTCCCCAGCGGGATGAATGCCAGAGGGGAAACCAAGGAAATCTTGGGGAGCTATAACAGAGGAATTCAATCCAGCCCGAGGCTTCAGTGAAAGCGCCTCTGAAGAAGAGACTTGAAATATAATCACCCTTACAGAATGCAGTCATTTTTTTTTTTTTTTTAACAGAAGAGGGAAGCAACACTCGGTGCTCCCAATTCCCTGCATAGCACCACCATCCATCCAAGTGTGAAAGTCAGAAAGCTAGGAAACTCTGTATGGGAGACCTCATTTGGTATCCCCCAAAGGACCACACATAATATTTGTGCCCTTGTGTAGTCCCCTTTCTAATCTGAACTGGCCTTTGATCTTTAACCAACAGAATGTGGCAAAACTAGCAGCTTCCATTTTTGCACTTAGGGGAAGCCAGCTGCCATGTTAAGTCCAAGCACCCTGTGAACACTAAGCTAACCACATGGAGAAGCCATGCAGAGGAGAACCAAACAGCCGAGTCGGCAGCAAGCACTGAGCACCCAGACATAAAACCCAAGCCAAGCCGTGTCGGCCGCCACCCAAGCCGACGGGCAGGATGGAAATGAGCTGCCCCACCAAGCCCTGTCCAAACTGCAGAATCACGAGCGAATGATAATACAGTTACTGTTTTAAGTGATGACATTTTGTGGCAGTTTGCAGCAGTAGACAGAACTCCTTGGCTCCCTTTTCCCCCCGTATCCCCTCCCTCCTTAAGTCCTATCAGTTTGACCTCCTGAACAGCCTAAATCTAACTACTCCCTTCATCTCCTCTGACACCATCTGACTCCAAAACTACCAGCCACTTTTTCTGATAAAAACTGCAATAGCTCTGGGGTGCCTGGGCGGGGGCGCCCCACAGCTGGTTGAGCGTCAAACTCCTGGTTTCAGCTCAGGTCTGATCTCGGTTGTGAGATCAAGCCCTACGTCGGGCTCTGCACTCAGCCCTGAGTCTGCTTGTGTTTCTCTCTCCCTCTCCCTCCACCCCTCCCTGCTGCGTGCGTGCACTCTTTCTCTTTCTCTCAAATAAATAAATCTTTAAAAAATGCAATAGCTTCTCTTTTTTTTTAAGTTTATTTAAGCCACCACTATACCCAACATGGGGCTCAAACTCACAACCCCGAGATCAAGAGCCTCTTGCTTTACTGACTGAGCCAGCCAGGTGCTCCAAAAACTGTAATACCTTCTTTTTTTTTTTCTTTAAGATTTTAGTTATATGTCAGAGAGAGGGAGGGAGAGAGAGAACAGCAGGCAGAGGCAGAAGCAGACTCCCTGCTGAACAGGGAGCCCAACGTGGGACTCGATCCCAGGACCCTGAGATCATGACCCGAACAGACGCTTAACCGACTGAGCCACCCAGGCATCCCTGTAATAGCTTCTTAAGTAGTCTCTATACATCTACTCAGGGCCACCTCCAATCTGTACACCTCACTGCAACGAGAGAGATCTTTTCAGAGCATAAATTATGTCACCCTGTTGCCTAAAGTATTTGAGTAGCTTTCTTTTTTTTTTTTTAAGATTTTATTTTATTTACTTGACAGAGAGAACACGAGAGAGGGAATACAAGCAGGGGGAATGGGAGAGGGAGAAGCAGGCTGCCCGCGGAGCAGGGAGCCAGATGTGGGGCTCAATCCCAGGACCCTGGGATCATGACCTGAGCCAAAGGCAGACATTTAGCCACCCAGGCACCCCTGAGTAGCTTTCTTTTGCCCCCAGAATAAAAACCATCAAAGTTCTTAACACGGCCTAACGCTTAACAAGATTCTACCAAGTTTCTGGCCACTGACCCTTCTTGCCCCATACAACCTTTTCTTTTCTGCCATACTAGCCTTTTAATTACTATACTCTGCCAACTCCTTTTGCCCCAGGGACCTTATGAATACTGTTTCCTCTTTCTGGAACCCTTTCCAACTCACCTGCCCTTACCTGTTTTGTTAAGTGCCTCCCGGTAATCTTAATAGGTTTCAGCACAAATATCCCATTTCCTCACAGAAGCCTTCCCTGACACCCCAGACTGGGCAAAAATCTCCCTTTAAAATACTTTCATTCCAGGGCAACTAGCTAGCTCAGTAGGTAGAGCATGTGACTCTTAATGGCAGGGTCATCAGTTCAACCCCACATTGGGCATGAAGACTACTTAAAACAAAACAAAACAAAACAAAAAACACATTCCTCTCTTTCTTAACACCTGTCAGAGCTATGATGTTATTTCTTTGGATAATGACTCAACTTGGGATTTAAGTGGCTGTTTATTTGATGCTTGTCTCCCTCACTAGACTGTTTCATTCTGGTTTTATCTCAGGTGAACCTTGGAGAAATGACATAGTCATCCGCCAGGACGTCCACTGGAAATGCAGCCCAAATTCTTTGAAACTACTCCTATCAATAGGTGGGATGTATTCCCTCTCCTTGAATCTGAACTCTGAGGCTCCCCGGCAAATAGAATATAGCAGAAATTACACTGTGCCGGTTTTTAAGCCCAAGCCTTAAAAAAGTGGCCATCTTCCATTTCCTATCACTTTGGATGCTTTCTCTTAAACCTAATCACCATGCTATAAGAAAGCCCAAACAGCCCATGGAGAGGAACAAGAACTCTGGTCCTCAGCCTCAAATGAGCTCCCAGCTAATAGCTCCAACTTGCCAGTTACATAAGTGAGCTATCTTGGAAATATAATTTCTAGCCTCTCTCCCTCTCCCCCGACTCCCCCCCAAAAAATCCCAGCTGATACAACATTGAGCAGAGATGAGTTTCACTATTGAACCTTGCCCAAATTGGAGTTTTCTGAGTGAAATTATTTTTTTTTAAGCTGTAAATTTTGAATGGTTTGTTATACAGCAATAGATAATGGGAACACCAACCAGAATGACAACCCTGTGCAGAAAGGCAACACTTCCTGGGTCAGGATCACAGAGCTGTTTGTGATGTTATGTCATCCCGACCCTCACTGAGCCCTGACTGAGGCCAGAAGCCTGTAGTATTTGTTGACATATAGAGTGGGAGTCTGTAGCAGTCCCCCACGAGGGTGACCATCCTTCACGTCCATGCTGTTATGGACGTGGATCCAGGGTTCTCTCTTGCTCATAATCTCCGATCCCCAAGGAACTGGCTGGTGACTACTGCACTCCAGAGTTTTGCCCTGGAGGGCAGCCTATTCCAGCTTCTGAAGGTGAACATGAATGGCAAGGGACATCAAAGTAGCACTTCATGAAAGACTCAGAGAGAGAACACAGGTCAAGGGGGAAATCCAGTGATTTCTGCCCCAGAGGAAGGTGCAGCTTGGTCAAGGGTGATTCAGGTGAACACTCACATTGGATAGACAAAGTTCCAAGAAGGTTCTGTGCTGAGGCACACAACCCACATGGCACCTTCTAGGCTCATGCCATCCAACACAGTAGCCACCAGCTACTATGGCTATGTAAATTTAAATTTTATTTTTTTTAAGATTTTATTTATTTATTTGAGAGAGAATGAGAGACAGAGAGCACGAGAGGGAAGAGGGTCAGAGGGAGAAGCAGACTCCCCGTTGAGCAGGGAGCCCGATGTGGGACTCGATCC